GACAGTGCTATAATGCCATAGGACAGACAGATGTTGGGGCCACATCTGGCTCACTCCTGGCTCTGTGCTCAGGGATCACTCCTGGTGGGCTCACGAAATCACATGTGATGCCAGGGACTGAACCAAGATAGACCACATACAAGGCAAGCACCCTATCTGCTGTACAATCTCTTAGGCCTCTTAAGTTGCTCTTCATATAGATTTAATTCTATTGAACTAGAAAATCTTATTATAGGAAGATATGATTATATAACCAGGGAAAAAAAACCCTGAAATTCTGTTTTCTTAGTCACTATCTCCATATTTAAAATAATGAGCATGGTTGGGGCTGACTGAACCTGGGTCAGTCGCATGCAAGGCAAAAGCCCTACCCGCTGTGCTATCACTCCAGACCCAACCAACCCAAATTTTTAAATCTTTTTTTTGGCTTTTGCTTTTTGGGTCACACCCGGTGATGCACAGGGGTTACTCCTGGCTCTGCACTCCGGAATTACCCCTGGTGGTGCTCAGGGGACCATATGGGATGCTGGGAATCATACCCGGGTCGGCCGCGTGCAAGGCAAACGCCCTACCCGCTGTGCTATTGCTCCAGCCCCTAAATCCAGTGCCTTCATGACAAGACTTCAAACTTGAAGCCGAGAATCATTGCTTTCAAGTGGGATTTACCACCCATCTGCCCAGGGCAGTTTCTACAGGTAGCTTTCTTACTTGGTATCCATGAACTTGAAATGAAATATCATTTTCATGTTTTCAAAAACCTTGAGCTGGAATTCAGCCTTTCCTTTCATTACACATGGAACCAGCTCCTCACAGTAGATTCAGAATGTGACTGTCAGAATGTGACCATTAAAAAATCATCAGTCTTGGACTTGGGGAATGGCTCAAAGGTCTGGAACACACACTTGGCATGCTGTTGTCAGGTTTGATGACATGTGTGGCCCCAAAACCAAAATTTAAAAATAATTAATTTTTTTCATATCACATTATAGTACTTCGACATCTTTTTTTGGTTGACTTTTGGTTTGTTTTGGGGCCACACCCGGCAGTGCTCATGGTTCCTCCTGGCTCTGCACTCAGGAATTACTCCTGGCAGTGCTCAGGAGATCTTTTTTTTATTATTATTAGTGAAACACCATGAGGTACAGTTGTAGACTTACAAACTTTTGTGCTTGGGTTTCAGTTATACAATGATCGAGTACCCATCCCTCCACCAGTGCCCATTTTCCACCACCAATGATCCCAGTAGCCCTCCCACCCCCCACCCCACCCTGCCTCTGTGGCAGGGCATTCCCTTTTGCTCACTCTTTCCTTCAGCGTGTTGTAGTTTGCAAATAGAGGTACTGAGTGGCCATCGTGTTCGGTCTATAGTCTACTTTCAGCACACATCTCACATCCTCAGAAGATCTTTTGGGATGCGAGAGGTCAAACCTGGGTCAGCCATGTGCAAGGCAAAGCGCCCTACCTGCTGCACTAGCTCTCCAGACCCAACATCTTGAAATAGTATTTAACACCATCACTACCTCAAAATTACAGAAATAATTGTACCAGTGGTATAATTTGATGAGCTGATATAATAGTATATACCACTTAAATAATTTAGAGAACCATAATCCTAGGCATTTTAAACATTTGCAGACACAATTATGAGAACAAGTGTACCAGCTTAAAATCGTCAAAGGTATCCACAACACCCACACAAGTTAAAACCTTATCCCAGATAGGAGGGGGGGGCACAAAAACTGGATTTTTTTGTGGGGGGAGGGTTCAGATTTGGGGAGGCTCAGGGCTTACTCCTGGTTCTGTACTCAGGAATCACTCCTTGCAGGGCTCAACCTATCATATGGGGTGCCGGGGATCAAACCCAAATTGGCTGCATTCCAGGCAAGTGCTCTACCCACCGTATTATCGCTCTGGCTCCCACAAAACAGTTTTAAGATTCTGCATTGCCATGGAAGTGAGTTAAGACAAAGTTTTGTTTTTCTGTTTTAATTTTTTATTGAGGCACTTGAACAAGGTTATTCATGACTGAGTTTCAGGCATACAATGTTCCAATCTCTTCACCAGTGTCCACTTCCCTCCACCAATGAGTTAAGTAAGACATAGTTAACTGGGCCAGAGATGTAGCTTAGCAGAGAACACTTGTAGGAGGCGCTGGGTTTGACCCCCTCAAGGCAAACGTGCAATAGTCAACTGCTGAGTGTTGGTATGAAGATAAATGGTTTGCATTTCACTGAGAAGACCAGTGTGCCCGACCAAAAAAAAAAAAAAAAAAAAAAAAAAAGCTTGTCAGTGTCCCTGACCAAAAAGAAAAAGAGCTTCACTCAATGCTAAATAAAAGGGCTATCTCAGCTAGTGTCCCTATAACTGAGGTCTGATACCAACTATTCCACCAGCAGCCAGTGTGGTCCAGTTTTCCATCTCTTGGAAAGGGGACTCCTTACTACTTATCCAAATTGACGCTGGAAGAACTAGTATTAAAATCCAAAAGTACCATGGCTTGGAGGCCAGCCACACATTCCAGGGGAAAAGGGAGCTCAGATAGAGAAGGGAGAACCAAATAAAGGGTGTTGGGAGGATCCTCGCAGGATGGGAGAAGCATGCTGAAAGTAGACTATAGACCAAACATGATTGCCACTCAAGGCCTCTTTTGCAAACCACAACACCCAAAAGGAGAAAGAGAACAAAAGGGAATGCCCTGCCACAGAGGCAGGGTGGGGTGGGGGGATGGGGGGTGGGAAGAAATACTGGGACCCGTGGTGGTAGAAATTGGGCACTGGTGGAGGGATGGGTATTTGATCACTGTATAATTGAAAACCAAGCACAAAAATTTGTAAGTCTACAACTGTACCTCATGGTGTTTCACTAATAAAAATTTAAAAAAAAAAACCCAAACAAACAAAAAATAGCAAGAACAAGGAGCTAGAGAGTTAGCACCAGGGTTAAAGCACTGGCTTTAAAGAAACAGCAACATTGGTTAATCCCAGCACTGTCAGGGAGGTATCTGAGCACAGAGCCAGGGATGGAGGCCTCTGAGCAACCCCCTCCATAAAAAAACACTGATTTCCACAAAAAGACTCAAGGCCTTTGGAAGGTCTTTTGGAAAAAAAAAAATACACACACACAGCCACCTTTAATAATAGCTCTAGAAGTCTTAATTTTACTAACAGTTCCTATATCGGGACCCTGGCTTCCGTTCCTAACTCTGCTGTCTTCTGTGCACCATACAGACGAGGTGTGATCGAAAACAACAGCAATAAATCAATGTCTTGATTCCTGTGTGCAGTGGGTGGGCTTCCAGACCAGTGCACACTGTCTGGGATCTCTTTGTAACTTGTGTGTGTGTGTGTGTGTGTGTTAAGTTATGCATGTTTGTGAACTGTGTGCCTATGTGTTTTGTAACTTACATGTGTATCTGTAAAGAGAATGCATGCGTGTTTGTAAAGGGTTATGTGTACATGTTTATGAATTGTGTGAATTGTGACTGTGTATAAATTATGTGTGCAAAGGGAGTGTGTGTTTTCAAGTTATGTGTGTGAATGGTGTCTAAGTTATGTGTGTAAAGGGTGTGTGTGTGTTTGCAAGTTATGTGTCTGACAACTGTGTGTGACTTGTGTCTGTATGTAAGTCATGTGTATAAATTGTGTCTGTGTATAAGTTATGTGTGTAAAAGGTGTACGTGTGTGTGTGTGTGTTTAAGTTTTGTGCATTGTGTCTGGGCAATAAGAGGCCTTTAGTTTCATCACTTTCTCCCAAGGGAATTCTGAAGCGCCTTAGCCCTAACTCTAGAGAAAGAAGAAATCTGAAAAACAAGAAACAAATTTACAAAGTTTAAGAGCTCTTGTTTAAAGAACCCTTTTCTTACTTAAAAAGATAAAGAATCAAAAAACAGTCTTTCCTGCAACAGAAGCCGGACTAGGAAAGGCTGGCGGGCACAATGCCCACAGCCCAATGCAACCTGGAAAGGCCAGACCCCAGCCACGGTAGCTGCGTGGCCCGTGCCCGTCTCAGGGCCCTGTTCTCCTCCCCAAGCCACCGTGCTGAGCCGCACCGGCCACAAACCACCAGCCCAGGATTCCAGTGGCTGTGATCAATCACTGTCGAATCACAACGTTTATGTTTCATACTATAAGGGAACTGACTATAAGGGAGGTGAAGGAAAGAAAAAAAAAATTCTTTCCCCTAACACCCCACAACTTTCACAAAATAAAAACGCGTGCTACGGTCAGCTCCAATTTAACATGCCCAGCTTCCAGGGGCTGTCGAATTGACGGATGCCCAGAAAAACTCAAGGTTACAGCAGTGCTGATGGGGGCTGGTGGGGGAGGGATGGGGGAGGGGGCGCGCGTTAGCCAGAGAAAACCACGCAAGCGCCTTCTCTATTCAGAAAACAACCCGGTGGGCCCATGGTCAGCCAAGGCCAGAGCCCAAGGTTTCCAAAAAGGAGATGCCGCTCTGGAGAGGATGGTGGGAACCAGTAAAGGCTGGGGACCCCGGGGGGCGGGGGAGGAGGAGGAGGAGGAGGAGGAGGAGGAGGAGGAGGAGGAGGAGGAGTAACGGGGCTGGGCACTCCGAGCGGGCCGGGGTCGAGAGAGGGACGAGAGGGATGCTGCGTGCCCGGGGCTGCATGCAGGACCAGCAGGTGGGACGCAGTCCTTCCCGCCCATCACGCCCTCCAACCTCCCCCGCCCCACGACCTAAGCAATGCGGCAGGGAGGGGGGCAGGAGGGGACGGACAGCGGGCCCGTCATCTCCCCGCTGGCCGGCCCTGGGCCTCAGTCTCCCCCACCCTCCGAAGACGGGGAGGACGGGGTGGGGGCGGAGGTGCGGGGAGCGGGGGGTGAAGCCACGCGCCCCGGCACGCACGCGGGCACTGCGGCCCGCTGAGCCCCCTCCGCGCACACGGTCGGGCAGAGAGGGGGGAGGGGGCGGCGAGGCAAGTCGGCGGCGGGCGGCCCCCGTCCCGGGGAGGGGAGGGCGCCCGCGACCCCCGCCCGGCCCACCTTGTTGTTGTACTCCTCCACGAAGCTGCCCAGCGCCAGGCGAAAGCGCTTGTCGGGCCGCACGCTCCAGTTCATGGCGTAGACGGTCCAGGGGGCTTCATACTTGTAGATCTCCTTCCGTTTGCCATGGAGGGACATGGTGGCGGCGGGGCCGCGCTGCGGGCAGGGGCGCGAGTCGGGGGGACCGTGGGCGCCGGAGGGCGGCGGTGCGGGCGCGGGCAGGGACGGCCTCGCCCGGAAGCGGGCCCGCGGCGACAGACGACGACGGCCCGGCCCGACCCCCCACTTTCAAACCAGCTCGGACTCGGACAACCACCACCTTCCGTTTGAGACGCCGCCCCTCCCTCTAGGAACGGAAGCTACGCGACCCCCGCGGCGGCGCCGGCCGTTGGCTACGCGACACGTCCTTTCGATGCGGTTCCTGCTTGTCATTGGCTGGGGCCCGCGCAGCTTCTGAGCCCTCCTCGCTATTGGCGACGCGGGGTGTCAGTCCAAAGTCGTCTCCCGCCCAATTCCAGGGGGGTGGGGCAAGTGGCTTCAGAGCCCCAAAGGTCATTGGCTGATCAAGATGTCAGTCCTAGATAACGGCGCAGTGCGGGTGAATTGGGCGTGGGGGCGGGGGTAGGACGGCTGGCCTGCAAGTTCTAGGCCAAGTCTCTCATTGTGTAACCGTTTTTTTTGTGTGTGTGGGTTTTTTTTTTCTTTTTTGCGACCTCCTCTGACTTCCTTTCTGCAGCCTTTATTACGAGAGGCTTCGCACACGCTGTCAATTAAAAATGTAGATCCTAGGGGCCGAGAGAGAGGCTAGGGGTTTAGGCGCTTTCCTTGACCGTGACCAATCCGGTCTAGGTCCCTTGCACCGGAACATCCTCCGTGAACCCCTCCAGGAATGATTCCTAAACACAGGCAGGAGAAAGCCCTGAGCACTGCTGGGTGTGGCCCAAAGGGGCGGGGGAGGGAGGCGGGATTGAAGCAAATTTTGCTTGGCAGAGGACCTGAAGCATTTCACAATTCCGAGTCTCTTGGCTGTGGTACCTGCCTAGTGTTTTTCTGGCCAATGCCTCTTTTTAAGCCAGAGTTCTGGTGTCCCAAAGGCAACCCCATAGCGCCTCAGGTGTTTGCTCCAGAGGTGAGGGAGGCCTGGCCAGCTTTAGTCAGGCCTTCCCACAGTTTACTGTCCATTGTAGAAATGCCAAAATGCTCCATTTCTAGTTGATCTTCGACAACAACCCCACCAACTTGGCTCTGAAGGTGGATTCCATCCACCTCTGTTCTGCTGCAGGTGCAAGGAAAATGCTAACAAATCCCTAAATGTGTTCATGTCAGGAGGTTGGAATGGAGGAAAAGGTCAGAATCTCGGTAACATCGCTAACTTTCGTGGTTCCCAATTATTTGCTTTCAACAAATTCGAAATCAAAGGATTGTATCAATTTATTATATTTGGGCTTAGATAATGATATTTAGCACAGTTTTTTAAAATAAATGATTGTTGACAGGTAACTAAGCAAAAAAAAAGCAAAGAAAATTAAAGTGAAATTTTTTCATGGAAAAGTCTATTCACCCTCTTATATGGGCACATTGTGTATAAGTTAGGAAAAAGGAAAAAAAGGTACAAAACTTTGTCTTATTTTAATTTTTAAAAATCCACATCCATGAACTAGTTAAGGGGAAAACAGTCCTTTGAGGTTATTTTTAATGAAAGTTTAATTTTAATTGAATATATGCTGTTTTGAACCAACCTGTACCAAGTGTAACCCTTAACAGTTTAGTAAGGTTACAAAATATTAATTTTAAAACTTCCATTTACATACATAGCTCTTACCAACAGATGTGACAAAACCCTCAGTTATAGACTTTAAAGCATGGAAACAGTTTACTCATGGGATTAAAATTGTAAGTAGGACAGAATGGAATTATGGGAAGAGAAAAAAACAACGATGTGAAAGAAGAGCTGCTTCTTGGATTTTCAAAATAAGTGATGTTGACTCTCAAATCATTGTTATTTGAATAAAAATGGATCCAAATACAGTAGTTTATCAAGTGCCAGTTTTACAAACACACTGGCAGTACATATTTTTCAATGATCTACACTTGAGTTTATGACCTAATGAAATACGGGCCGAGAGACGGCATAAAGGGCTATGTGCTGGGGGTGTGGCTCAAAAACAAAACTAAACTATCAGATACCAACTTAAACATGTGTGTGTGTGTGTATGTGTGCGTGTATGTGTCTGAAAAAGGAGCAAAGCATATTTGTGTACGTATATATGTGCATGCATTTTCAAGGTGTATGCTAAACCACACTCTCTGCTGTCACAATTCTTAAAGGAATCCAGTGCTTTTGGGGATGATGCCCCATTTCAGTGAGGCTGCATTGCTCTCAAAGCAGACTCCCTGGGAAGAAAGTATGTCCTCTCTCTCTTGTGCTGGCTGGGTGAGAGTCTTTCTGTGTTTAATTGTTTTGGAATGGATGGTCCTGGGGACTTCACACATGCATGGCAAGTGCCCCATGACTTAGCCACATCCCCAGCCTCTTCCAAGTTTTAATCAAAGTATCATTTACTCACAGAAAATGCACATGCATTTTTCACGCTCCTGTAACCTGTCCCCAGACAAGAACAGTGAGGCCCCTGGAGTCCTTTTCCTGTTTGGTTGAGCGCCATGCTTCTGATCCCACATTTCTGGCACAGGGACAATGACCCGACTCCCAGGGTTTAGAGGGAACTCTGTTGATTGTTATCAGCATAGAATGGTGTCTACCTTGAATCCTGGTGACCCCCAAGTCAGTGGCTCACTGACTCCTTCCACAGCCAGGCAGAATCCTGTGGTTCCCCCTTCATGCTCCCCCCACCCCAGTTCCTAGTGAAGGGGGTTGAGCGGATCATGGCTCGAGGAGTCAGAAATTCCCCACCTGGGCCAATCAGAGCTATACAGACTTTATTAGCGTGAGATACTCCGCTGCCTGCCAGTGTCCCAGAGTTTAGCTCATAATCATTAGGAGTGCAGGAGGGGAAAGTGTTGGAAGCTCTGGGCCCTGCTGTATACCTTACAGAGGGTTTCTACCATTTCCTGCAGCTGGCAGCTCCTAAGAAGTTGCGCCCTGGGAGGCAGGCTGGACGTGGTGGGTAAGTCCTGACCTGAAGATGAGCCCGTGGACCTGAGCAAGGCCTCCACGGACCAGAAGGGCCTCCTCCTTTCTTCACCCCGCCCCTCCCCCCGCCAGTCTCCAGCCTCCAGCCATTGGCAGCTATTCTAGAAGAGTTCTCAGAGACCCATGTTGGTGACTGTCTGCCTCTCCCAAATCTGTATTTCTCACCTCACCCGTCTTTATCTTATCCCCCAGGAGCTCTTATGTTGGGGTTCCCTGGCTCTAGCTCCCTGCAACTCCAGGGTCCGAGCTTTGTCTCTGGAAATCCAGCTGCTTGGGGACAGAGCTGAGGTGTTCAGGGACAGAGGGAAAGCGGGGGCCACAGACAAGTCCCTGCCCCTCCAGGGTAGGCAGCGGCGAGGCCAGCGGGAACTGGGGCCCCTCAGGCCACTTGTGTTCTGGAGATAATGTCAGAGTTTTGTTCATTGCCACAGCCAGGTGAGGATTCTCCCTGTTCTCTGGCCCACATTCATCCAAGTCACCACAGTGTGAGGGCTGGGAAGGCAAAAAAGAGGGGGACGGGCAGTGTGGGGAGCCCCTGCCACCTCAGTATTCTGACTTCAGGAATACTAACTGTCCTGTGGCTGCCCTTGTCCCAGCTGTGGGCACGGGCCACAACCTACAGTGGCCACTACTGTCCAGGCAGCCCTGTCAGAGGTGCCACAGCCATCCTGCCCTCCTCTCCCCACTTTCTCTTGACCCCTTCTCCCCTCTCCCCCCCCTTTTCTATCCCCCATCTTCCTCCTTTCTCTCTCTCTCTCTCCTTCTCCCCCTCTTTCCCTTTGATCCTGTCTCTTTCCCTTTCTCTCTCCTCCTTCCCCTCCCTGGGGAAGAGGCCACACAGAAAATTGAGGGTGCTTGGAGATACCCCCAGGAATCCCCTCTCCCTCTCACCTGTGTTTGTGGCAGACTGCCTGCCGGCACCGTGGGGCCTGGACTAGGAGAAAATAAGGCCTGGGCACTCGGAGCAGGGGTGCCTGGCATGGGGTCGCCGTGGCCGTGGGGCGGGGGCTGCTGAAGGAGCTGCAGGACCAGGCTGAGGTCTGAGGACATGCGGGATTCCAGCCTGCCAGAGCGAATGGAAGCCCTTCATCAGGGCTGGTGTGGGGGTCCAGGTAGGGTCAGGGGCGGGGTCAAGACCAGAGTCAGGTTTGGCAAGGGCAGTTGGTTTCTGAGGGAAGTTCTCAGGTTTGTAGTCTGCCTCCGGTTGCCAGGGGCAGCCTGCGCCCACCTGAGGTGATTTCCCCATCACCACCCTCCGCCCATGACACAGCGGTGAGAGTGCCCATAGCACTCAGTCCTCAACAGGACACGAGCCTGGGGCCCTGATGATCCTGGTAAGGGGTCAGGCTGGGAGCCCAGGCTGTACGGCACCTGCCTCACCTTGCCACAGCAGCTGCCCCCTGCAAGGTACACCCCCTTTCTAAGGGCTCTGCACAAGGTCATGCTCCTCTCCTCTGAAGGGCCTCATAGCTGACCCGGAGAATAGTGGGGAACCTATAGAAGGCCTCACTGCCCTCCTGCCCTCCTGAGCTTCCAGCCATGTGCCGGCCCACCAGGAGGGGGCACCCGTGCCTAGCCGGCTGCGTGGGCCTCTGCAGCTGAGAGCCAGGGCACCCACCTGCTCATCTGTGCCTGGAGCTGCTCTAGCCTGGAGCCCAGCCCCAGAGGCCAGCTGTCCGGGTCTCCCCGCAGGTTGGGGGGACTGTGTCTTGACCTTGAGGGGACTTGTTGCAGCAACTCAGGCCAGAGGTCGGATCTGTCCGAGAGGCTCAGGGAAGGAGCTGGCCCTGAGGGAGAAAGTGAAGCCCCAGCCAGCTGGGTAGCACCCCCCCCCCACCGCATGCCACGAGAGCCCCCAGTCTGGGGGCTCTGGAGCATGAGATCCTGCCACCAAGACTCAAGCTTCCAGAAGGCCAGGCCAGGACTTGGGGTGGGTTGGCTTACTGGGGATTTCTGGGGTGCTGCAGCCTGGCAGATCCCTGGGTGTTCTACTTTGGAAGCCCAAAGGGGCTGGCTGGTATCCCAGCCTTGGGGGCACCTTGCTTGGGCTGGGAGGATATGGGAGGATGGAGGGAGAGGGCTAGGGGCCCTCTCCCATGGGCAGTGGGTGAGAAGGTCCTGAGAAGGGGCAGGAGTTTGGGCTGGGCCTTCAGGAGGAAGCGGCGGGGGAGGGGGGAGCTGGTGGGGGGCTGGCTTTGCTCACCTGGCTGGTTGTCACTGAGGAAGAAGCCTTGGGGGTTCTGGCCACCTGGAGCCTGTTGGGGGGATGACTGGAGACCCCCGCCTGCCTTGTGGGAACAAAAGTACCAGGTAACGGGGACAACACAGGTGGGGTGGGCCACTCTGTTCTCCACACCCTGAGGCCTTGTGGCAGCTGACCAGGCAGCTACCCTTGCACATGCTCACATGCCTGGTTGGGCAGGACGAGCACAGGTGTGTAGAGATATGAAGACCCCAGAGCTTTGGGAGATGTTGCCTTGAGCAGCACAATTTGGGGGGGGGTGTGAGTGGGGGCTTCTACATTCCCTGAATGTCCTGGTACTTACTCATGAACACAGGCTTGTAGAGGTACTTACGTATGAAAACAGGTTAGTGGGGGCCCCAAATCCACGCGGGAAGGCCCTCAGTAACCGTACCATTATCTCGCCCTTCTGGCACTGAGACTTGGGGGTGCCTGGGAACTGGAGATGCCCCGCCCATGAAGACACCTCCTTCATGCCATGGTATCAAGCCATGAGCACTTGGGCCCTCCAGGCAAGGCCTTTGCCAGGAGTCTCCTGGATATACAAGGTCAGAAGGGCAGAGAAAGGCAGAAGGAGGATGGCAGAGGCAAGGATGGGGAGGGCCATCCTCGTAAGCTCCCCATTCCAGAGGAAGCATGGGGTTCACACCAGCAGGGCTCTTCCACTGAGATGGGGCTAGGGACTCTGGCCAGAAGGCACCTATTGGGCCTGGAGTGATAGTTCAGCAGGGAGGGCACTTGCCCTCCACACAGCAGACCCAGGTTCAATTCCCCAGCATCCCATATGGTCCCCTGAGCATGGCCAGGAGTGATTCCTGAGTGCATAGCCAGGAATAACCTCTGAGCATTAAGCATCGCCAGGAGTGACCAAAAAAAGAAAAAAAATGGCAGGCACTTGTTTCCCCCTATCAGGCACTCCTGGTCCCTTCTACCCACTGGCCAAAGCCACTTCTGGTCAGCTGTCCCACTCCTTGGTCAGCCTGAGCTCATGGAAGTTTGGTCTCTCCTGCACTCCTCCCTGTGACATCTTTGGTTATTTCACTGTGAGTCTTTATTCTCCCATAATCTCCCTGGAAAGGTTTGCTTGAGAGGAGAAACAGTGTGCCATCACTGTTTCATACCCTTGGAATCTGACACCACGAGCCCCCTGGACAGCAGCACACTTGTTCTTCTCAGTGCAGCGTGACATGGCGTGACATGACTCCACTGCCGCCTGTGCTCCTTGTTGTGTGGCTGTGTGACCCTGACCACCCGCTCATCCTCTCTAACCCTCAGTCTTCTCATTTGGAGAATGGGGCTAATAACACCCTTCACTTGCAGACTGGATGAGCTCGTGTCAAAAGAACTGGCACTTGGCACAGAGTTGGTGCTTGATCAGCATACAGAGCATTAGACTGGCCGTGAGGGCACAGGCAAAGTGAGGGCACAGGATGTGGTTGGAAGAAGGGGAGATGGTCATGGGGCTGGACAGATAGTATAGCAGGTAGGGCTCTTGCCTGGCACACAGCTGACCCAGGTTCAATCCCTGGCATCCCCTATAGTCCCCCAAGCCCAGCCAGGAGTGATCTCTGAGCTCAGAGCAGGAGTAAGCACTGAACACTATCATCCCCCCCCCAAAAAAAAAGGAAAAGAAGGGGAGGTGGTTTAAAAGGCCCCCTGGGCAGAGAAGCCAACCCTGGGTAGTAGTGTCACTAGTACCGGAGGGCACCCCCACCCTGGCCCACCCAGCCCAGACTCACGTCCCGCAGGTTGAAGGTGACCTCCAGCTTCCTCCAGAAGCTGTCCGCAAAGGTGGGGTACATGTCCAGCACCTCCAGCAGGTCTGCACGCTGGATCTTGTGCAGGTCGCAGTAGGTCAGTGCCCGCACGTCAGCACTAGACTTGCCGGGCCGGGCGTGGAGGCTAACGGGCTCCCCAAAAATGTCATTCTTTCCTGCCAGCAGAGAGGGCCACTCGCCAAGGCCTGGCTTTAAGCGCGTGTCCGAGCAGCCACCTGAGAGCCCCTTAACCATGATCTCCCCTGCCTGGAACCTCACACACCTCAGGGCTCCTGCCAGGGTTTGGTGCTTAGGAGCAAGCTCTGGGCAAAGCTAGATGTACTGGCTAGGAGTGAGGAAGGGGGAGGAGGGGGAGGAGGGGGAAGAGGAGGGGGAGAGGTAATGAGGGGGAGGAATATGGGGAGGGTTTGGAGGGGTGAGGAGGTTAAGGAAGGTGAGGGAGGTGAGGAGATGTGAGGAGGGGGTAGAGAAGAGGATGGGGAGGAGGGGTGAGGGAGGAGGGGGAGGATGGGGAGAAGGAGTGAGAAGGGTGAAGAGGAAGAGGGTTGAGAAGGGTGAGGAGAAGGAGAAGGGGAAGGAGGGGTAAGAAGGGGAGGAGAAGAAGGAGGGAGAGGAGGGGTGAGGAGGTGAGGAGGAGTGAGAAGAAGTGAGGAGGGGTGAGCAATGAGGGGTGAGGAGGGGTGATAAGGGTGAGGAGGAGGTGAGGAGAGGCTGAGAAGGGGTGAACAGGGATGAGGAGGGTACCCTTTCCCACATCCTCCCTCCATGGGAATCCGACCTACCATCTCCAACCCTCTCTATACCCACTCTATCAGCGTCTATTGTCCCTACCCTAGGGGACAGTGGGAGGTCCCCTTCTCAGCCTGCCCTGCTGCTATCCAAGCACAGGGAACCCAGGACAGGAGCACTGTCCCCAGGGGGCAGGGATAGGGATTTCTCCCTGTTGGGTGTCCAGGTGTTCAGGGGGCGTAGGCCACCAAGTGTATAAACCCACCCACCCCCTCCTAACCCTCAGAAACAGGCACACAAGCCACCAATGGTGATAGTCTCTGGGGTGATAGTCTTGGAGCCAGGAAGAACCAAGATTTAGGGGGTTCCAGAGGAGGGAGGGTCTCATTCTCCAGGTGAGCAGGGGCTCGCAGAGGGAATGAGAGTGGAGGGAAACTGCACCCTCAGGAGTAGGGCCACCGGGCAGAGGACCAGCATGGGGACAGTGCAGCAGGGTGGGCCACCCAGAGATGTCCCAGTGGCCCTGATGGGATGGTGCTCTGACACCCTTTCCTAAAGGATGCCGAGCCCCTCAACTCAAAGAAGTCACACAGGGGTACTCATGGTACGGATAGAGGCCAATATCAAAATTCTTCACCAAGAAGGTGACTGAGGCATAGGGAGTGAAGGGACTCTCCAGGCGACAGCTGGTCCCAGCAGTTTGTCATTTGAGCAACATGCTAGGGACAAAGGATTATGATTGAAAGTTCATTTCCATTCAGGACAAAAAGAGGATTTCAGGTCTCTGATGGAAACTTAGATTAGACTGGTGTCTAAAATATTAATGATCATTATTAGCCCTTCCATGTCCCTGGGATGGCTGGGAGTGAGGCCGCACTTATGCCAGCCTTGAGGGGTGCCAGGCAGAGTGACTGTGAACAAGGACACATGGTGGGGGTGGGAGGTGGGTTAGAGAACTGTGTCTTGTGGGGCTGGAGTTTGAAGTAAGGGGTGGAGGGGGCAGGGCTTTGGCTATCAAACTGGGAAGACCATGCCATGCACAGGGGCTTATGTGGGTCCAGAGACCCAGGGGGAACATGGAAGGATTTGGAGCAGAGAAAGTGTGGGCAGATGTGAATTTCAGGCAGAAGGGGAGAGACAGGACATGGGGGTGCCCAGGCTGGACCCGGGCAGGGACCAGGAGACGGATGTGGGACGAGGGTGGGACCAAACGGTACTAAGGAGCAAACTGGGCCTTGTGTCTGCCTGGGAGGGGATGGGGGGGCAGGAATAGAGGATGCGGCTCCCCTGGCTGACTCCCAGGTCTGGTCACAGAAATGGGGATACCAGAGGCTCGGTATTGAGGGAAGATGATGGTTTCAGGCTGAGAGCTTGTGGGCTGGCTCAGGCCATCCTCAGAAAGATGCAGAATATTTGGGTCTAAGGAAATGAGCACAAAGCTCTGGGTTCATGTGCCCAGTGTGGAGTGAAATCATGGGACCAAGGAGCTGGCCCAGAGAGCAGTTCATTTGGTGACTGTCCACCAAGACCAGGCCAGAGGAAGGAATGGGGGAAATCCCGAGGGGCTCTTTGGAGGGGCTGGAGGAAATGCTGGGGGGACGGCAGGTCTGAGGTGGGGCTCAGGGGCTCAAGGAGGGCAGATGCAGGGAATCAAGAAAGATGAGGGTTGAGAGGAGACCCATTGGGGCTCTGGGAGGCAAGGGTGGCAGGGAGATCCCAGATCTGAGAGGTGACAGAGGCTGTGAGTGCCTCAGAGCTGCCCCCAGCCAAGGCCGGAACCCTAACCCTTCCTGCAAGAAGCATCGGGCTGTCCCTCCAGAGGCAGGGGGTGAGACTGGGGAGCCCCTACCTGCTCCAATCAAAGCAAATGTCCACTCTGTCACCTGGTGCTTCCCAAGACGGGAAGTCTGCAACAATCTGGCCTGGCCGGGAACAGCTTGCCCTGTCTGAGCCTCGACTTCCCTCTCAGGAGCATGGGCGCCCAGAGTCGGCCGGGCTTGGGTTTTTAAGGACTCAACAAGCGGGTTGAGCCGGTTCCCCAGGAAGGCCCCATGCTGGGTCAGCGCGCTGGGTCAGCGCGGCAGAGGCGACAGGCTCCCCGGATGATAGCGGCCCTCAGGCCCGGCTTACCCAGGATGGCCACCACCACGTCGTCGCGCAGGATCTCGATGGAGCCGCGGGAGATGAAGTAGAGCGTGGACAGCACGTCGCCGAGGTGCACCAGCGTGTCCCCGGGCGGCGCGTGCGTGGTCTTGAACTTGACGGCGAGCGCGCGCAGGCAGCCCTTGCTGGCGCCGCGGAAGGCGGGGCAGTGCTGCAGCGGCGCGCGGTGCAGGTGCAGGCAGATGTCGGCCTGCAGGCACTCGGGGAAGCCCTTGAGCACCTGCGGGGAGCAGGGGAGCGGGGAGCGGGGGATGAGGGCGCGCCCGGGATCCGCGGGACCCGGGCTCCCCCGCGGCTCACGCGCTGGGGGCGGCGAGGCTCACCGCGTTCATGTCGATGCCGTTGGTGTAGGACCAGGCGTGCTGGAAGTACTCCTCCAGGCGCTGTCGTAGCGGGTTGGGGATCTGGTGGAAGCGGATGAACTCCCGCACGCGCAGCATCTGCGTGTGGTAGCGCGCTGTGCCTGAGTACAGCCGCTGGATGATGGCCGACACATTGCCAAAGATGCTGGCGTACATGAGCGCTGCGGGGGAGGGGGTGGGAAGGGGTGGCCGCGAGCAGTGAGCACCTCTTCAGGGCCCCACCCCTGGCACACACACGGACACACACACACACACACACGGACACACACAGACACACATGCACACACACATGCATGCACACACATGCACGCACATACACACAGGCAGGCACACACACAGGCACACAAACACACGCACACAAACACACGCACACACCACACGTGGATGCGCGCGTGCGCACACACACGCACACACACACACACACACACACACACTCTCTCCCTGTGCTCAGAGCACTCTCCAGAGCAAAAATCAGGTAGTACTCGGGCACCTGGGGGACAAAGGCCCTTTTATTATGCACTGCTTTGTCCCTCTCTGACATCTCTCCCACACCCCCCATTTCCCCAACCAAACTACTAGTGATGATTAAAAAAAAAAAAACTAGGGCAATGAACTTTTTTTAAGCTCACTTTTGTTTGCTCTTCAAGTTGTAAGGGTATAATGAAGGGAAAACTCTGTTCCCCCCCTTCCTCTCTTCTGGTTGTTTTTGTTTTTCTGGGCTTTCACATCTCTAAATACTTTGAACATGACAACTTAATCTACGTGTAAAATTCCACACTGCCTCTCATGTTCCTAGCCCCGGTGTCTTGGAGGCAGGAACTGGGTCTCTGTGGAGCTTCTGGCAAAGGGGACCTTCTATTTCTTGACCCGTAAGCTGGGCTCACAGCACGGCCTTCATGGGAACAGAACATGGGCCTTGGGTGGTGCCACTGTATCAGGTGGGACTTTGGGTTCTGTCTAATGCTCAACACAGTGACCAGGGTCACTCCCAGCTGTCCTTGGTATGCACGTGGTGCTGGGAATAAAATCTGAGGCTCCCATGGGTCAAGTATATGCTCCAGCCCTTTGAGTTATTGCCCCCAATCCACATCTTAAAATTCTTTCTTCTACTTTTTTTTCTTTTTTGGGGGGGGGTCACACTCAGTGATGCTCAGGGGTTACTCCTGGCTCTGCACTCAGGAATTACTCCTGGTGGTGCTCAGGGGACCATATGGGATGCTGGGAATCGAACCCTGGGTTGGGCACGTGCAAGGCAAATGTCCTACCAGCTGTGCTATTGCTCCAGTCCCCCTTCCTTCTTTCCTTCCTTCCTTCCTTCCTTCCTTTTTCTTTCTTTCTTTCTTTTCTTTCTTTTTTCCTTCTTTTCTTCATTTTTCTTGGCTTTTTTGCTTTTTTGGGGTCACACCTGGCGATGCTTAGGGGTTACTCCTGGCTTTGCACTCAGGAGTTACTCCTGGTGATGCTGGGGGCACCATATGGGATGCCAGGAATAGAACCCTGGTCAACTATGTGCAATGCAGACGTCCTACCCACTGTACTATTACTCTGGCCCCTCTTTCTTATTTCTTCTTTAAAATGTTGTGGCCACACTCAGCTGTGTGAGGGCTTACTCCTTTCTCTGAGCTCAAGAATCACACCTGGCAGGGCTCTGGGATCCTACATGGTGGCCAGGGATCCAACTAGGGTGGGTCGTGTACAAGTCAAGCACCTTCACCCCTTGCCCTATCTCTCCAAGTCAGCATCTTAAAATTCTTAATAAATGTCTCTAACCCAGGGCTCCATAACTTCCTGCAAGTGAGCTTGGATCCCGGTGCCTGGTGCAGAGGCACGGCTGAGCGGATACACTGCATCCTGTGGCCACACCCAGTGGATGGGGGACCCCTCTGGGCAGCCCTCCTGTGCTGCCCACAGAGCCAGCCCTAGGAGAGACGCCAGGGGTACTCACAGCCGATGAGCATGACGCAGATGGAGAAGACCTTCTCGGAGTTGGTGTTGGGGGAGACGTTGCCGAAGCCCACACTGGTGAGGCTGCTGAAGGTGAAGTAGAGCGCCGTGACGTACTTGTCCTGCACCGAGGGGCCTGAGGCAGGGTCACTGCTGTTGTAGTGCTTGCCCAGCTGCGTGCCCAGGCTGTCCAGCCAGCCGATCTTGGGCTCCAGGTAGGGGCGCTCCACGTTGCCGATGGCATACCAGATGCAGGCCAGCCAGTGGGCAATGAGCGCGAAGGTGCACATGAGCAGGAAGAGCACGGCCGCCCCATACTCCGAGTAGCGGTCTAGCTTCCGTGCCACGCGTACCAGCCGCAGCAGCCTCGCCGTCTTCAACAGCCCGATCAGGGTGGTGGTCTGTAGGGGCAGGGAGCAAGACACAGGAAGGGCAGGGGGCAGGACAAGGTATCAGACCTTAAAAGAGTGAATGCAAATGCAGGATCGCATCAGCCCACTGGTGCATATGGTCACACAGTCATACAACAAACACTCAAAAGACCCGGGTGCTCTGATCCAGCTCTCAAGCACTAGAGCTGGGAACTGTTGGACCTTAAAACCCTCCTGCCTAAAGCTCCAGCAGTGTGATGGTGGCCAGGCAGAAGCCCTGGAGGGAACAGGGAGGAAAGGGAGATGGAGTCTGCAGTTAGAGGAGGGGAGGCCTGAGAAGCCAGGCTGCATCTCTAGGCAGTGGGGAAGGAGGGGAGAGGGCGTTCCAGCAGAGGGAGCAGCAGGCACAAAGGCAGGAGTGAAGTGGTGGGCAGCAGAGTGGGAGACAACCCAGGTGGGAGATAGGATGGGCAGGTGGGCAGGGGCTGCTCCTGGGGCTCCAGGGGTCCCTAAAGAGCTTTTTCATCCCAAGTCTTCGGGGAGCCTCTGCAAAGTCCCAGGGCATGACCGAAAATACACTCTGGTTGCTGTGTGCGCAGGGGACCTAAAGGTGGCGGAGACTGGGACAGGGATGGGAAGGGGGCACAGAGTTTGCTGGAAGAGGGTGGCCATGGGAGCATGAGGGGCCCTGTTGGACAGGTGGTGGCTGGAACCCAGAAGTCAGAGCTGATTCGAATGGATTGCTGATCCCCAGGCAAGGGTTGGGGGGCATAGTGGGACTAGGAGCTCTGCGAGGCAAATGAAACGGGAACAGACTCAGTCACCTGTGGAGCTGGGGTGGCCCAGTGGAGGGGCTTCAGGAGCAGAGGGTCAAGCTGTACTGAGTCCCTTTCCCTCTCTTTTTTTCACTTTCTTTCACTCTTTCATCGCTTTCTTCCTTCCTTCCTTCCTTCCTTCCTCCATTTTATTTCATTTCTTCTTTTTTTTTTTTTTGCTGAATCGATAGCACAGCGAGTAGGGCATTTGCCTTGCATGTGGCCAATCCGGGTTTGATTCCTCTGCCCCTCTAGAGAGCCCAGCAAGCTACCGAGAGTATCCCGCTTGCACGGCAGAGCCTGGCAAGCTCCCTGTGACGTATTTGATATGCCAAAAACAGTAACAACAGGTCTCACAATGGAGACGTTACTGGTGCCCGTTCAAGCAAGTCGATGAACAGCTGGAGGACAGTGCTACAGTGCTCTTTTTTGGCCACACCCAGCTGTGCTCAGGGCTTACCCTTGACTGTGCTCAGGGATCATTTCTGGCAGGCTCGGAGGACCAATTGGGATGCTGAGGCTTGAATCCAGGTTGACTGCATGTAAATGCCCTACCTGCTGAGTCCCTTTCTAGCTCATCGGGGTTGGAAGTCAGCCCAGGGGCAAGGAGGGTCTACAGGCATGTCCATCTCAGATGAGCAAAACTGTGGGTCAATCAATGGCTATTGGGAGACAGGCCCTGATAAGAGCCTGTTTCCAAACAAGGGGTAGAGGGGAGACCCCAGATGTCCTTTTCTTTGTTTTGAGGGGTAATTGGGGGCCACACTGGGTTCAGGATTCACTCCTAGCTCTGTGCTCAGGGATCACTTCTGGTGATGCTTGTGGGACCATATGATGTACCAGGGATTGAACCTGGGTCGGCCATACGCAAGGCAAGTATCTGAGCCCTGTACTGTCTTCCACTTGCCTTGGCAAAGGTGCCCAAGTCAGGGACTCTCTGCGCCCTGGATGGGGTGTGCTCACCTCGTCAGACCCCGTGCGGAAGATGAGCAGGTCGAAGGGGATGGCGGCCACCATGTCTATGAGGAACCAGCCCTTGAAGTAGTGCACAGCGATGCGGCGGGGGTGGCTCACCACCTCGTCATTGGCATTGACGTAGGTGGTACGGAAGTTGATGATGATGTCCACCACAAACATGATGTCCACGATGAGATCCACCACGGTGAGAGGGCTGCAGGTGTAGCCGCAGGCCCCGCGCCGGGACTCGTCCTGGTCACTGAGCAGGAAGGCAGCCGAGTAGGGTGTGAAGATGGCTGTGTAGATGACCAGCAGCAGGATGAGCCAGTCCCACACGGCCTTGAAGGGGCTGTAGTGCAGCAGCGTCCCGCGGTGCAGCCGTGGCGTCTGCAGCTTGTACTCAGGCAGCACGTCTGCACCCAGGGACAGGACCTGGAGGCACGGAATGGTCAGAGGTGGGGAGGGGGGCCAAGATAAGAAAGGAGCAGAGAGACCTGGAATGGGAGCCACGGGAGGGGAGGCCAGGATAAGATACAGGGACGAGGAGGCATGTTTGTAGAGGATGAATATGTTGGAAGAACAGAGAGGAAGTGGGGTACAGGGAAGAGGGACAGAGATTTGTCCCTTGGTGCCTCGCGTCTATTTGGGGGGAGAGAAGGGAAGGTATCGCTGGAAGCTCAGAGATCACTTCTGGCTCTGCTCAGAGACTACTCCTAGCTCTGTACTTAGGCCTCCCTCCTGGCTCTGTGCTCAGGGATCATTCTTGGCTTGTGTTCAGGGGCCGTTCCTGACTTGTGCTCAGGGGCCACTCCTGGTGGTGTTCTGGGGACTATATGCTACGCCAGGATTTGACCCTGGGTCATGGCTGCAGTTGCATGCTAAAGCACTTTAACCTTTTACTTCTCTCTCTCTCTCTCTCTCTCTCTCTCTCTCTCTCTCTCTCTCTCTCTCCCTCTCGCGCGCGCGCGCGCGCACCTGCCTAGCTTCTTAAACTCTGTGGTACTGTGAATCAGGTCCAAGAAGAGTTTTGCAACAACCAATGTGCATTGACTAAACAGTCACTCATAATTAAGCAGGAATCAGAAGTGTTTCTGGCGGCGCTTGCAGGGGTGCAAGTGGAGAAGCTGAAGTCTCTTAGACACAGTCCTGTCTGGTGGGGGTGGAGCAGGGGAGGGCCAGGTTCAGATCTTCTGGGATCATTGTTCTAGTAGGCTTGGGAGAATCAGGGGTCAGTGCCTCCAGTGGAAAAGTTCCCTGGGACTGTCTTCTTCCCCCCCCCCCCCCCCACCCTCACCCCCTCCACTTCCTGTACCCTCCAGGCCTGGGAGGCAGCACATTCCCGAGGTGCTGTGGCCGACTGCCTTCCCTGGCTCCAGGAATGGGTGCTAGGCCAGAGCCCAGTAAGACAGGAGGTGGCTGCCACCAGACCCCAGAGAGGCTGGACAGTTGCTGGCACCACCTGCTCAGGCCCAGGCCCAGGGGCGGTCTGAGAAAGGACCCCAGAGACCCAGCCCAGCTCTGACCATCCCGCCCTGAGAACCGCACCTGGGTCACCTTCTCGGTGACGTTCTGCGTCCGTTCCACCACTTTGTGGGGTGCGATGATCTCAATTTCTGTGCTGGAGCCCGAGCGGTGTTTCTCCAGGTTGAATTCCACAAAGTTGAGTGTGAACTGAGGGATCTGGCTGATGGTCCTGTACTTGACCTTGCCCGAGTCGGGACCCTGTGCACTGGGTCTGCCCTGGGCACCCTCTGAAACCGGAACTGGGGTCAGGGCAGCCCAGAATGGGCTGTTTCATCAGGGGTTCCCTCCCAGGGCTGCCTCACCCCGCCTCACCGGAGCCCAGGAGACTCTGGGACAGCAGGCGCTGGGACAGGCTGCGGCTCCCGCTCTTGGCCAAGAGCTGGGCAAGGTCCTCAAAGTTGAGAATGAACATGATGACAGCCCCATCCTCGTTCTTCACAGGCACCACGTCCACCAGGCAGCGGAAGCTGGAGGCTGGCAACCAGATCGCATGGGGGGTTAGGTCAGTCACTGAAGGGGTCCTTTCCCACAGTGACCTGGCCTGGGAGGGCTGGGGGCTGGCTTCGATCCCATTGAGCTGAGACCACCTGGATGGTGATGAGTTACTGGGCAGAGGTTGGTGGCACTGCACCAACACTGGTGCCCCTGGACAGAGGTGGGAAAGCACCTAAACTGCTCATTATCAGAGAGCATCAGGACAAGCGCATGCTGGGCCCTCAGCTCAGGGTTTGCCTCTTGGCTTGCTCCTGCGGTAATTAAAGCAGAGCAGCTGGGTGGATTAGTGGGAAGGGGAAGTGGGGTATTCCCCACCCCACCCCCACCCCATGGAGCTCTGGTCAGCCTTGGGTTTAGATGGGTCCATATTCCCATCTCACAAAGATGCCCCCCTCCCCTGGAGCCAGAAGGAGCTCTTGGTTGAAAACACACTAAGTGCTGGGCACTGAGCCAGTTGGCACATTAGGCCTCCAGCTCCATTGTGGAGCCCCCTGGATCCTTGGGGGGCAGCACAAACCCCGTTCTACAGACAAGAGCCTGGATTCTGAGAATCAGACCTCCTGGGCTGGCAGGCAGAGGGAAGGAGAGGCTGGGTGCTGGGTTTTGGGGCCAGACACGGAGATGACCCAGGGTACAGGGAGGGGGACATGTGGGGTTGGTCTGAGGACCAACATTGACCATATGGACAGCCCAGACATAAATATCAGCCCAAATGGGCTCCGGGGTCCTTCATCCACTGTGTGGGCAGGACTGGGGAGAAGACTAAGATGGAGCCCAGCCAAGGGCTGGCTGGCCACCCCACAAGTTCCTCTCCAGAGTACTGGAGGTTCCCCAATTCTCAAATTCAACTGCTGCTGGGAGGGTCAAGCCCAATGTTCAGGCCCCTGAGGGGAAGCATGTAAATCAGATGGAGATCTGCCTCCCCAGGGTAGTCCAGAGCTTGTCCAGTGTAGCAGCTTGTTGAACAAATGAAAGAACAAGTGAGAAGTGGGCTGGGCTGGGGTGCTGGCAGGAACACTTCCTCTCTGGAGGTCCTCTTTGGCACTCCCATTCCTTGGTGTCTCCTCACACCAAGAGCAGCTAGCAGCGCTGGGGGTTAGCTGAGATCCACAATCCTCCCTCCCTCGCCTCCCTGGGAGCAGGAATCTCTGGGATCAGATTCCCAGACAGGCCCCAGGCAGCCACCTGCCAGCTGCCGTGCTGGGAGACACCCGCCCCAGGGGGTGTCACTCATCACCCACCCAACCCCTTGGGGACTGACTTCTTCAGGCACAAGGGGCCCAAGGTTACGCCCTTCTGCAGGCCCCTCGAGGCACGCACACACCCTGACTCGGGCCAAGCCTATCACTCTTGTGAGCCTGAGCCCAGCGAGGCTTGACCCTGGGAAACCTCCTTGGCCAGCGGCCTGTGGTGCCGTCTCCAAGACCAGACTCCGTCCTCCCTCTGGCACCACTGAGACGCGGCCTGGCAGGGCTCAGAAGGCCCTGCTGGCACAAGCCTGGTTCCAGCTCTCTGTGGAGCTGGAAGCTGCCAAAGGCCAGACTTCAAGTGGCTGTTCCAGGGATGTCAATAGGGGAGACTCAGCCTGGGAATGGATCGAAGACCAGAGCATTCTAGAATTCTACCCAGGATTCAGACCTGCCTGACAAACATGCACTCAGCCTGTTGAGCTATATATTTCTCTGGCTGTTCCTGTTGAGGAAGTTTTCTTTTTTTTTTTTTTCTTTTGTTGGGGGGCACTTGGGCCTTAGCTAGCAGTGCTCAGGGACCATGTGCTGCCAGGAAGCCAACTAGGGTCAGCCAGATGCAAGGCCAGTGTCTTATCCAAACACTATCTCTCTAACCCCTGACACATCCTTTTAGCGTCCCTTAGGCTGTTCTTTCTCAACCATGACTTGGAGTTTATGAGTAACTGAGTAATGGCATCCGGGTAACAAGGTGGGTGAATGAGTCACTCCAGGTAGGCTGGGCAGTTGGTGTTCCCATGCCCTTGGTCCATCTGCAGAGCAGCAGTCTCAGTCTGCCTTAATTTTCCTCCCAAGCTTCTTCTCAAGCCCACCTCTGAACAAGCGCCATAGATCTGTCTGCCTCGGGGGCACTGAGCTTCTCTCAACTCCTCGCAACCCCCTGCTCCCAGGGATGGGAATGAGGAGAAGGGGAGGAAGAAGAATCCATCAAGTGGGAGTCTACCAAGTGGGGAAATTGTCACCTGGCCTCTTTGAATCTGACTTCCAGAGCCACGTGGTGTGGAACCATCTGAGCGCTGATCTCCCACTCTGATGGGGAACAGGCAGTGGCTTGGTCTTTTAGAGGAAAAGAGGATTATAAATAAACCTTGAGAGTTCACTTCAGGGCCCTTCCCAAAGCCCTAGAGTTAGGGCTGAGGAAGTAAGGCGGGAAACGCCCTTAGGCAGATCTGTAAGGTGGTTGTGAAAATTATGGAGCATTGTTAATTTAATTTTTGTTTTGTTTTTTTGGTAACCACAGTGATACTCAGGGCTTACTCCTGACTCTGTGCACAGGAATTACTCCTTGCCAGTTTAGGAGACCATACAGGATGCTAGGGATTGAACTCCGGTCAGCCGCTTGCTAAGCAAGGACCTGACCAGCTGTACTATCACTCCAGCCCCGTATTGTGTGTCCATATTGGACCATGAGTCAACACAATCACAGAGCATCACTTACTTCCCTTTGAGTAATGCAGGCCAGGGAGATCCTTTTCTGAATTTCAAGTGAATTTCAGGCAAGTCAAAGGCTTGGACGATAGGCCACGGAGAGGATCAGGGCAGGGCTGGGGTACACCGTGACTAGGGGCATGAGGACTGTGGCTACTTTCCCATTTGCAGCACCAGCCTAGGTCCCTAATTTCCCCTCTGAGAGCTCAGTGACTCTAGCAGACTCCAAAGACCTGAGTCTGACTTCAGAGAGTCAAGACTTGACCTTGACCTCTGTCCCACGCCAAGCACAGGGTGGGAGAAGACTGCTGAGAAGACCCTCGCAACCCAGACACTCCTTGCAATCAGGCTTACATCCCGTCAATCGAGTGGAGCTCTAGGCTTACAGAAAGGGACAGAGAAGAAACTTGGTTCCTCACTTCCTGCTGTCCCATCCTGCTCTCCCCGGGACCCTTCTCACTCCCCTGACTGTCACCTCCTTTCTGCAATGATATGAAGAGGTGAGGTCACAGCTTTCAAAAATATTCTGACTTCATTAACCCTGTAAGTGCTGTCAGACTAACCCCGGTTGTTCTCAGTGCCCTAATTGTGGTCCTAACCCGCCTGCACCAGCAGTTACTGTCCAGGGGGACTGTTGGAACCCACTCAAGCACTTAATTACACACATACACACATGCATACACACACACAGAGGCACACGTGCAACACACACACACTCATGTCAGCATTTACACTCCCACTTCTCACTCACCAGGCCCCTGGAACTGGACCCTCAGCAGCTCCTGGTGTCTCCCCAGAGGTCTTCAGAGATCTCTGCACTCAAATGAGTCTCAAGACCTCAGACCCTTGAAGAGGAAACCCTGTCCTAGGATTTCTTTCCCCCAAAGTCACCCTGGAGCAGAGAGGAAGTCTCTTCTCCTCTTCCTGGAATTGCTATCTTGAAACATTCCACCCTACAAGTGGCAATCGTGGGCATGTCCCTTCTTGACCTCGGGCCCTGGCTTTCTTGGCAGTGAAGTGTAAGGCTTTATCGAAGTCAGTGGCTCCTCAACTTCAGAACCGTCAGGGAGAGTTTCCCAAAGACACCCATGTATTGTGGGCTCAGCTTCCATTTCTCCCGGAGTCGCCTCTTTCTAGGGAAGGTGTGTTTTGGAAAATGCTCACCAGGTCATTCTGCTCATTCTGCTGGAAGCAGGTTAGGGTGGGGGGAGAGGGCACCAATGCGATTTCAGAAGGATTTTCAGGATCCTCACCCCCACCCTTGGCAGGGGGATGGTTCCAGTGCTCACAGGAAGGACTCTGACCTCACCCCTACCCGCACATCTGTTCTGCTTGCAATGAACTTGGCCTGGCATAACCTTCCACACCAAACATGCCTCTAGTTTGGGGAAAACTGTCCTCCCCAGGAGCTGCATATGGCGTGCAGGGTTGGCCCCTTTCCGAGTCTGCAGTGCCTTGTCTGGTCACAGAGGCCTGGTGGGGGTGGCTCCGCCCCTAATCCCCGAGCAGATGGAGATGAGGAAAGGTTAATTTCCATCCCGACTGCCTGACAGCTGTGGCTGACAGTGACAGAGTGGACAGCCAGGAGACAGGGTACACGGGGGAGGGGTGGTGAAACTGGAGGCCCTGCCCAGGGCCAGTGCCTCTGCCTGCTCCCCAGCCTCTCAAAGGGACTCTCAAAAGGCATCATCACATTCAACACCTACGGCTTCCCCTTCCACATCAAGAAACTGAGGCCCAGAAAAGGACCAGACTGGTCTTTAGGTGAGGATCCTCCCCAAGGGACGGGAGGAGTGTGTGCTACAGAGCAGGCCCCGCGGGAGCCTCACCATCTTTGCGGTAGTATATGATGTCCACTTTGCACTCCTCGGCCCCCATCAGGGCCTGTGCCAGGCGGGACATGGCACTGCGCGGCGTGTTGGGGCCGGTGAGGAAGTCGCAGGTGCAGGGCCGCTGCATCACCTCCATTCGAGAGTAGCCAAAGAGCTCACAGAAGCCGTCGTTGCAGTAGATGATGGCGCAGTTCTCCATCTGCGCATTGGCGATCAGGAACTTTCGACCTACATTGAGGGCAGGAGGGGGGAAGCCCATGGCAGCCCCAACTGGGGGTGCTGCAGGGAGGGAAAGACCATTGGGGACTCTTGGCAAGGATGAGAGAGGAGTAGTAGATGGGGCAAGTGAACAGGACCAGGGAGTGGCGAGGTCAGGCCTGGGAATGCAGCCAGAGCAGGGTGATTATGGGGTCAGCCAAGTGAGAGTCACCCAGCTGGGGGGCAAGCCGGGGAGAATTCCTGGAAAGGGCAGGATGGCTGCCACGGAGGGGTGGAAAGGAGGGCGCTGGGGAAAGCTCTGGAGGAAAAACTAGGTGAGGAGCGAGACTAGTCATGGCAGCGATTAGAGCTGGGGGTACCAAGAAAACAACTCCGGGAAGAGAACAGGTATTCCTCTCTCTCCCTAAGAGAGGACGGATTTTGAAGAGGTGTTTGGGGACCGTCAGCATCGGGTCCACCCCCACTTTGCTCCATTCAAAGTTAGTGAAAGGCTCTGGCCCCACGGAGCACACCCCAGGACTCCAGATGGTCTGCCGCCCCCAACGCACGCACTCACTCTGGCCCTCGAACTTGCGGATGATGGTGTCCAGGTAAGTGTTTTGGGGCGCGACGTGGCCCCTGCGGACCGGCATCTTTCGGCCTCTGCCACTAGCTGGAGCCAGCGGCGTCCCGGCTTCCCGCGTCCGCGCTGGTCCTCGGGGTCCGCGAAGCCCGGCTGCCGATGGGGGCCGTCCCCGGGGCCACCGCCCCGGCGAACGGCTGCTGCGCTCCGGGCGGGCCGCGCCGCCTCCCCGCTGCCCGCCCGGGAGCTGTCCGCGCCGCGGTGCTGAAAGGAGCGCGCGGCGGCGGCGGGGCGGGGTCCGCGGGCGGGGGCGACTCTCCCGGCCTCGACGGGGCAGGGGCAGGGGCGGGGCCCCGGCTCTCGGGGGGCGGAGCCGAGCAGAAACCCGCGCCGGGAAAGGGGCCCCGCGCCTCCCAGAGCCTTGGCTCTTATTCCCAAGGCCAGCGGCCTCCGCCTTGCACGGAAGGACAATCCGGATTTTGCGGGCCTGGGGGTGGGAGTCGCGGCGGGAGGGCTGCAGAAGAGGCCTCTGGTGGTCTTTTTGCTGAAGGTTCTCTTGGGATCGGACTGCGGATCCTAGCACCCCCTTACCAAGTGCCCTGAGACTAGCCAGGGCGCTGCTAGCCTTCTAGTGCAGGGCCCAACGAGGCCGTAGAAGGGTGTAGAAGTACGGCAATCAGGTATGCAGGAAATGGGCAAGGAGGCATCTGCTCCGGAGGCCTGAGAGCTCTCCAGCACAAAGGCACAGCCCGGGAGGACAGCTTTAAAACCACCTATTAGCAAATGATCACAGCTAAGTGTCTGGACTCTCAGTGGAAATGAACGAACTAGAAGCAGGTGGGGTTGGGTGAGGTTTATTGAACCAAGCTTTATGGAGAGCAGGGAAGGGCTCCAGTGTTCACTGAGTGTCTTGGCGGAGCTTTGCAGAGGGCCCCGTTTTAAGCCAGGTCTTGGAGGGAAGTATTCAGAGAGAGGCAGACTCTTTAAACAAAGGCTGATGGTAGGACAGATGCAAGGCAGATGCAAGGATCTGAGCTGGGCGGGTGGGAGACGTCAGGTTAGAGAAAAGGGGAATCGATAAAGACCCTTCGATGCCATTTTGAACATCTAGATTTAATTGATGGGCAACCAAGTTCTTGAGCAGTTTAGACATAAGAAAATATTCCAGTGAAATAAATTTTATAGTGGCAGGTGGGGGAGGGAGGACGGACAAGGAGGCTCAGTGAGGTTCGTCCTGGAGTCCAGGTGAGAGGCTTGGAGTCCTGGGTTGGGTGTGCCTTTGCCACGCAGAACCATAACGCCTTGTTGGCTACTGTGGCTGGTGGGTGGGAGAGCTGCTAGTGTGGCCTCCTGAGGGGGCAGAGTTGTCCTGGCTGTCCCTGTGTGTGAGGGGGCAGGCTGACTATGGAGGAAAGGGGAGTGATTCTCAGGGGCTCAGGGAGCAGTTCGCTGAGCTCTGAGGAGAAACATGGGCGCTGGACATTCATTCACTCACTTGCTCACACAAACACTTTCCAAGGTCCCAGTAGGTGCCACGGCCTGTGGTGGCTGCAGGTGGCACATGGAGGCACGCCGCTGATGGGTACCCTGACAGGACCAGCAACCAGTAATGGGGACAAATAGAGACCATTATAGGGCCACACTAAGACCAGTGGCATATGGACAGGTGACCCCCGGGATAGAGGAAAGAGTCACTCGGGCTCATCCAGAGTTCAGGAAACCCTCTTGATCTCAGGAGGTTAGGGCTCTCATGTTAGGTTTGTGGTGATCTCAGTCTTTAATCTAGAGAGTCAGTTCCAGTTTGACGCCACCCTCCCACCATCTCAACTGGAGGTTTGGGTCTGGTCGCCAGCTGTGATGTCACTTTCTTTAAACCTTCCCTAATGTCTCGACCCTCAGACTCTAGGAGTGCCAGGGACTTTAGTCCAAACCCAAGACCCCCTCTCAGATGTGGCGGCCCCAGGGCAGGCCTCCTCCAGCCTGGAAAGAAAGGGCTAGAAGGGGCAGAACCAGAGACCTCCTCACTTTCTGCCCATGCTGTCCCTAGAGTATTTATTTTCCAAATGTCCCCCTGCAGCTTGTCCCTCCCTGAAAAGGTGCTGTTTGTCCTGTGATCGATTCCCAGGGCAACAGGCTGGGCAGCAGGTGTGTGTGCTGAACAAGCCCATCTCCGGAACAGAGTGGCTGCAGATGAGCTTTGTTTAAATATTAAAGAAGTCAATCATTAATCAAGCCTGGCTCCGGGCCCAGCTACCCACTGTCTCCATTCGGGAGGGTCTTGAGTGGGGCAGGGAGGGCCATGGGGCAGCTTGTGAGGCTGCTTGTATCTCAGAAGGCCACAGGGCAGCTTTGGGGGCTGGAGGCCTGATTCTGAAACCTCTCACAGGGCAGGTCAGGGGATCAGGAGAAACATGGACACGGCATATCCAGAGTGTGCAAGTGTGTGCAGAGCACATCAACTGGGCAGCAAGGATTAGTAAGGGAATGTCGGTTCTCTCTGAATACCCCTGTTGAGGGCTCTGCAGCTGTGTTCTGTTTTTTTCCCAGAGTAGTTGTGGCGTGGGCACTGCAATCCTAGTCTAGTTGGGCTCCTGAAAGAAACCAAGTGATGTGAAGAACGAGTTCTGGGGATGAACTGGTCTGGGGGCCTGGTCTGGAGAAACACCTTCAGTGGTTTGCTAAACCCTGGTTCATGAACACTTTAAGAGGAGGAGGCTGACCTTAACCCAGGGCACACACAGAGTCAGTCACGAGTGCGCATGACCTTACAGACATATGTTCATCAACATAAAATTACAAATATTCTCCCACCCTCATGCCCACGCACTCAAGCCTTCCACAGCTGCACCCAGTTGCGACTAGGCTGTCTCCTCCCCTGCCCTGCCCCTCTGGCTTGGCCACCCTCCTCCTGCCCCCAACCTCACCAGTTGCACTGACTTAGTCCCAGCTCCACCAATTAGCTTTCATCCATGGACGCGTCCTGCCGTGATAAGTGATCTTCCAAACGACCAAGGCAACCAAACACAGCATCAGGATGATGCAGCAGGCCAGCATAAACCACTGTCTTCTGAGGACCTGTTGAGGCTCCATGGCTACGCCTAGGAAGTAGGCGTTGGAACCCTGGTCTTTGCTTTTCTCCTGTTCAGATTGGCTCTTCTGATTCCCTCCAAGGGAATCTTTTTCCTTGGAGAACAGCCTGTAGGCCAGTAGTATGGCCACCAGGGTCATGATAAGGCACAGAGTCAGCAAGACCCACTGCCAGGCGCTGGACTGCTCAGGGGTCTCTTGGTAACCCAGGAAGCTTATTTTGTCCGTGTTTAGTTCTGTGGAAGACGTAGGGGATGGGGGAGGTGTAGGTGGTCAAACTAGGAAGGGGGTCATAGGGTGCCCCATAGCAATCAGAATTAATCTAACTGCTACTCAGCCATAGCTAAAGGCATTGACTGGGGGTTGGGGCAATAGTACAATGGGTAAGATGCTTGCTTTGCATGCAGCCAACTCGGGTTCCATCCATGGCACCTCATATGGTACCCCAAACAGCACCAGGAGTAATTTCAGAGTGCAGTGCCAGCGGTAACCCCTGAATATCGCCAGATGTGCCCACCCCAAAAAGGCATTGACTGCTCTAAAATGAAGAGGAAAAAGAGGAGCAGGAAGAGGAAGAATTGGGAGGCCATGGGGCTCTCTATCCTGAGGGACCCAACAGTGTCTCCATGGGGCTGTAACAAGGCAACTTGGGAACCAGTGCTGAGATGCCAGCTCAGCAGTTTGACAGGACACATTCAAGGAATTGACTAGATCAGGGGCTAGGGCATAGGCTGGGATCATGACCCAGACCACAGCAGGCACATTCAGGCTCACACAGCAGCAGATACGTGGGAAAGTCAGGACACAGGTGGGTTAGGGGCTAAGACTAGGTTAAGGGAGAGGCTGGCCCAGGGCGGGTTGGGGTAGGAATTGGGGGCTGAACTGGCTCTGCTCAAACCTTCAAAGGTACATGCGAAGTCAGGCCAGCCCAGGATCTCTCCTTGCTTCACGTTCTCATTCACCAGCCAGTTCAGGAGGGGCTTGAAGTAGGACAGAAGGGCATGTGCAGATAGCTTATCCTCTCCGGTCATCATTTCCAGGACCTCGGGCCAGGGCTTACTTGAGCCCAGCTTGAGGACATCCCTGGGAAGGTGGGAATGCAGTGAGGCCATGTAAGGGCTTGGCTGGTGCACCTGACACCCTCTGGACAAGCCCCAGATTTTGCTTCTCATCCCCAGACCCGGCATAGAATACAAAACCATGAACTCTGAAAGATCTGGGTTTAAGTATGTCATCGAGGTCTTGTACAACCTTTTTTGTTTGTGTTTGTGTTTTTGGCCACATCCGGTGGTGTTCAGGGCTTACTCCTGTCTCTGCATTCAGGGATCATTTCTGGTAAGCTCAGGTGACCATATAGGGTGCCAGAGATTAATCCAGGCAGGCCACATGCAAGGCAAGAGCCCTACCCATTGTACTATCACATTGTACTACCCATTGTACTATCACCCTGCTGTGTGACCATGGACAAGTACTTTGACATTTATGAGCCTGTTTCTGTCTCCAGAGATGGAGGCAATAATAGTCCCCAGATCTAGTATGGTGGTGACATTAGACAAACACAATGCTTGAGAGGGAGAGTAGTGGGTAGATAATACTCTGGACTGCTAGTTGGGATTCTGATCATTTTTCATATCTATGGCCATGACATGAGGATTTCCAGGCTCCAACATACACACAAGACTGTTTCCTAGAGTGCTCAGGGTCACAGGACAGCAATTCTTTGGGCCCCTGAAGGATTAGACCAATAACACGTGTTGGATGCTCTCTAAGGACCACCAGCAGAAGGCATAAGTGTTCCAATATCGTGCTGGGCAGCAGGGGCTCAAAGCCCAGGGACAAGGGTCCTGAACCAGAATTCCAGGCCTTTCTTTGGAGAAAGATGAACACAGGGGCTGAGCCTTTCCCAACCTGCTTCAGGACCCGAGGCCCAGGAGTCAGAGTGTGGGGTTCAGATCAACAGCAGCCAGGTTCAAGACTCAGTGATGCTATGCCTGAACCTTGGATGTCAACTCTACCTCAGCTCCGTGGCCAGTGGAAATAGCAGGTGAAGACTCACCAGCTGCCTATGGTGCTCACCAGACTTACATCTGTCTCGCCAAACACCAGGGAAGAGTGAATTGGGGAAAGAAGGTCTGCTGACCCTCGTCAGGAACTAGGTGGGAGATTTAGTTCCTAGAGAAATGGAAGCCAAGCCGTCAAGATGAAAAGATAAATGGAAGGAACCCCAGAACTAATTTTAGGTAAGAGGATTTTATCAGATGCTTGATCGTGGGAGAAAGGAAGAATGTGGAGGCGCTGGTGGTGGGAGTGGGTAGGTGAAGGGGAAAACCTGCCTATTTCAAACCAGTCCTCCAGGGTGGGTGGGACTTGGGCTAGACCCCAATCCAGAGGCTCTGTGGCAGCATTTAAGCTTTACAGAGGGAACCCAGAGCACTACTGCCTGCCATCTTCAATGCACTCCTGGGCTTGTTAGACCCCATGGCAGGACCCCATCTCCTTGTACCCTCCTCTCCCTTTGGCCAGAGGCTGGCTCTGGGAAATTCCCCCTAAAGGAGATGCACAAAAAGCAGCAAATCAAATTCTAAGGTCATTTGACTGAATAGCTGCCTTGCAATCTTGCCATCCCCTTCTCTGCTCCCAGCTCCCCATTCCTCAGCTGTCTCTTGCGCCCTGTCGAAACTTGCCACATCCCCCTTTCCTCAGACCTCCCCTCTGCCTATGGACCAGGAAAATGGTTGCCGAAATCCCATCCATGAACTGCAGGAGGGAGGGGGATCAGGAAGGGTTGTGATGATGACCAGTGCTGAGGCCTTGACAGTACCAGGCATGACTTAGGTGCATGGTCCCAGCCCTCCAGGGATAAAGACCGAGTTCACAGTGAGTCTATCTAGAGGTTTCTTCAGAACCTGCTCAGTCTGGTACTCCTGCACGGGGAGACAACTCTCTCCTCCATTTCCTGCACAACTTCCAGGGCCTCTCTGCTTGCCAACGCCCACCTTTCCTCCCCGCACCACTCTGTTCCCAGGTTATGGCCCTTGATGGCTCCGGATGCCAGCCTTGCTAGAAGGCATGTGCACAAGTCAGTGCTTCCTGATCATCCTAAATGACAGGCCCCCATGACATGAATGCAGAGTGTGGAGAGGGCCCTGATATTCCAGTGGACTGAACGACTCAAGCCTGAGCAGGGGACCGGACTGGCCCCCTGCAATGTGGAAGCAAGGAAAAGCCAACAGATGGATGGATGAGGGTGACAGTAGGCAGGCGGGGTGCAGATTCCAGGGAGCCCAGCCAGGGTCGGGGGATCAGTCTTGCAACCCCATCTGACCGACTGCTGGCAGACTGCATGGTAGAATCACAAATTTGCTCATTAAAGTTGCAAAGATACTAAATTATGTGGCTTTGTTAGTCCTCAGGGAGGCAGGAGTAAAGATGAAGATGACCTTGACCAATTAGGGAAGTGGACTTATTGAAATTCCTTGGAAGAATGCACCCAGGAAGCAGGTAAGCTCTGATCTCGGAACCAGTGGATCTAGGTCTAACCTCCCAGACACCTGTGACAAAGGGAAACCACCAGAGGCAAGAGAGTATGCTCCAGAGTTGGGGTTCAAAGGCTGCTCTCCCATATGAGCCATGGCTCGCATGCCGAGGAGTATCATCTCTGAGAAGTGAGGCTAAGAGCTGCCTCTTAGAGAAGACCTGAGCCACTGGCAGGAGGGTTCTGCACAGGCTCACCAGGCACCCAGTCTGTACTAGTAAGCGCTGCCCCGCCTCTGGGTTTGCTGCAGGCCCCAGCACCAAGGTTGCTGAGGCAGGAATAGGAAGGATGGGTCGGACACTGAGCACAGAAACAGAGACTTGGACAGAGGGCCCAGAGCCCTGGGCTGACAGAGCACAGCCATAGGATGATGTGAAGACAGACTGCATCAGCTGGGAACTGGGTCCAGGTACTTTCCAGTGAGGTGGGAAAGGGCTGGAGACATAGTACAGAAATCAAGGCACAGCCCTAGCATGTGGTTGATCCAGGATTAATCCCTGGCACCACGGAGTCTCCTGAACACTGCAGGGTGCAGCCCTGAATGCCCCTGAGCACTGCTGGGTGTGGCCCCAGTCCCAGAACTGCTTGTGGGTGATCCCTACCACCACAGACCTCAGGGCACCACCCCCCTCTGCTTCTCACATTGAGCCTCTTGCCTGGGTGCAGAGAATCTCCTGAAAGGGCCTCCAGGCCACGGGAGTGCTCTTTGGGGCATTCCTATCCCCAAGAGAGAAAGAGGGGAAGCCGAGGGCTCCCAAGTCACACGTGCATGCATTGCTGCAGAGGGGAAGGCGAACAGCTCACACAGCAAGAATGAAGGACTCGGCCTGGCGCTTATTTTCCTTCTGAGACCACGATTGACAGCAGGTGTGCATAAGTGTGTGTGCAGTTGCATGTGTGGGCATGAGTGTGTGCGTGAGTGCTTGAGTTGTGTTGTGTGTGCAAATGTGTGTGTGCATGAGTTAAGTGCATGTGTGAGTGTGAGGGCATGTGTGTGCACAAGAGTGTGTGCATGTGTGGGTGAGTGTGTTAGTGCATGTGTGAGCCTGCGTATGGAGTATGAAAACATGTGAGAGTGCCTATGTAAGTGGAAGAGATTGTGAATGTGTAAGAGTGTGTGATTTCATGTGAGAGTGTACAAAGGATACAATTACTTGTGAGTATGGCTGTGTGGGTATGGTGTGCGTGTTTAAGTGTGGGAGTGTCTGTGGGTATGAGTGTGTGTGACTGAGTGTGGGTGTGTCCATGTGGGCTTATGCATGTGTGGGCATGCCTGTGTGTCTGTGTGTGCATGTGTGTGGTATACCAGTGCACGCCTATGTGTGGCACACCTGTGTATGCCTGTGTGTGTGTGTCTATGTGTGCCTATGTGTGCATGTATGTGCTTGTGTGTGCCTATGTGTCTGTATCTGGCACACCTGTATGTGCATCTGTGCGGCATGCCTATATGTGCCAGTGTGTGCTTGTATGTGTCTATGTGTGCCTATGTGTGTGTGTGTTAGCAGGAAGATTACACTGAGGGAACAGGCCTCTAGGAGATGCAGTCTGGCAGGGGGAGGACTCAGTTGGGGTGACACTCAGTTGGGGTGCAGGTGCTGGGGGGCACTCACTCTAGCAGCTTCCCTGCCATCTTCGAGCCGTAGATGTCACACTGGTGCAGGGGGCCCGTGTGGCCCGAGGCCTTGCACAGTGCCTCATGGAACTGGAACTGGAGCACGAGGCTGATGAAGTACCTGAGTAGAGGAACATGAGGGCAGGCTGGGGAGTGGGTGTCAAGGGTGGGAAGCCAGAGCCACTGGACTCTGGGCACCCCCACACACAGCATCCACGAGGGCCACTGCTCAAGTCACAGCAGGTCCGAGGCCCCTCCTGCAAGGCCCCCCTTGGGCTGGCCCTGGTGGACTGCAAGGACTCTCCTTGCTCACGTGGGAACCCACAGACATGTCAGCCTTTGCCTCCCTTGCCCCCACTCTCTCAGAACGGCAGAGGGTTCAGAATACTCCTCTTGGCTGTGCCTCCCCACCTAGGAGCAGATGGAAAAATCTAAGGGGGCAATTTCAGGGCCTGGCCCCCAGAGGCTGAGTAGCCCACCAGGATGTGGTGAGCAGGGCCCCCCAACACTGGCAGAGCCCAGACCTTTACCGGATGTAGGGTATGCTGGCAGAAATGTGGAACTTGGCACCTGGATCAAAGTCATCCTCTGACCGAGGAACTGGGGGGCACAGGCCTTGGTATTTCAACCTGGCAGAGAAAGCAGGGGTTGGATGGTGCCACCCAGCAGGGATCCCAGTGCCTTTTCCTTTCAACGCACATGCACAGCTATCCAGACGGGACCTGCATGGGGGCAGCACCGCCACTGTCAGGCCCTGGCGCTGGGGGCTGAGTATGAAAGGAGACACTGGGAAGTGAGTGTGGGGCCTGCAGGACCCACTAGGGCTCTCTCAGCTGGGTTTCCAGGAACACAGACAGGAGCCAGGCCAGCAGCCTTGAGAAGGGGGAACGTTTGCAGACTGATTGCCCTGGAGGTTTCATGCCATAAGAAGAACCAATAAGAAGAGTGTCATGGGGCTGGAGAAATAGGACAGTGGGTAGGGCCTTTAGTTAAGTTCCATCACTGGCACCCCGTATGGTTCTGTAAGCACCACTAGGAGTGATTGCTGAGCATACAACCAGGGGTAAGCCTGAACACTGCCCCAGATGGAGGGAGAGAGGGAGGGAGGAAGGGGGCAGGAGAGGAATGAGCGAAGGAGGGAAGACCCTGGAGGGTCCCTAGAGGGATGGTCAGGTTTGCTCAGGGCTGATGCCAGATTCAATAGGAAGCGTTGCGTATGCACACATAGCCTGGTCATCTCACCTGGGGGACTTTAGGCTGATGCCAGCAAGGAACTCCCACTCTCCTGGGGCGTCCCCTGCCCTCCACCCACTGGGTCTCAAGTCTGGTCCTCAGAAAGGTAGCATGTGGTCTCTGGGAGGTGCTGGAGAGCCCGAGCAGCCTCCCTTCCCACCTGAGGTTCCACCACTCCTGATTGTAGACACTCGATTTGATGCTGCCATCAAAGATCTTCCAACGATACAAGTCCATGAGGTAGGCAAAGGGGATGAAGGCGATCTTGTCCAGGGCAACGCCCATCAGGAAATTGACCTCCTCCTCTGGGGAAGGGGGTACAGTCAGGGGGTGGCTTGTGACCTCCCCTTCCTCCCACTCCCATGCCCCTCGTTTTGTCTGCAGAGACCCTGGCTGGAGCTGCAGGCTCGAGCAGCCTTGTGCAGACACTCTGGGTCCCAGTCACCTGCATCCTGGTGCTGATGGGTCAGCAGGCCTCTGTTGACCAAGTGCTTGTGGGAGAAGGCCGAGAGGGTGACCACTGACCCTACAGCCTCTACAAAGGCTGGGTTGGCGCCTGAGCGGAAGATTATGGAAAGGTTCCTGTACTGCAGGTAGTACTGGATATGGCCCATCTGGTGGAAGATGGACATCAGGTCTTCTATGGACACTTCGGTGCACTTCTTTATCCTAGGGTTAAAGGGCAGGGGTCAAAGAGCACAGGGATACCCTGTGAGCTTTCTCCCTCCTGACTGGGGGTGGTTCCACTCAAACCAGGGGAGAGAAGGGGTGAGGAGCAGAGGTGCTGGAGGCGTCTTGTTGGGTGGGGATCCGCAGGCCAGTACCTGAAGTCCTTGCCATTATAAAAGTCCCAGGCAGAGGTGTGGCACTCAACTTCCCGCCCGTCCGTGGGTCTCTCCAGCATGGACTTTTTCCAGAACTCGGGCGGAGCAGGTATCATGCCCAGGGAGACAAAGAATTTGTCAGCCTCTTCAAACATTTTCAAGGGTTTCCAGTGCTGGGAGCGAGAGGAGGGGTGTGAGGATCCGGCCCTCTCAGCCCAGGGGTGCCTGAAGGTAGGTATGGGACGAAGTCAGGCGCTGACCTGGTCTTTCATGGTCTTGGTGATGTCTTCCAGGGGTTTCTCCGGGAAGGGAAGGACCAGGTCTAAGATGTTGACCCAGGACTGAGCCCACATATTCCCTGGAAGGGGGAATGGAGAGGCTGAGGGAGGTAGGAATCCATGTCTCCCCTCATATGCCCCTCGGCCTCCCAGAGCCTCTGCCAGCCACCTCCACTGTGTCCTGGACCTTACCCAGCAGGTGGGCGGGGATGGGGCTCCTCAGCCCGATGATCTGGGGCCCGTAGAAGCGGTGCAGGGCGCGGCGCACGTAGGCATGCAGGTTCAGGTAGAGTGGCAGTAGCTGTTGGTAGAGATCGTCCAGGTCTTCTTCCAGCGTCTCCCACTCGTAGGCACCCTGCCACATGGCCCCCATGTCTTTGTAACCTAGGACAGAAAAGGGGGGTCAGGGGTGCCCTCACCCTGGCAGTATCCGACCCAGGTCACCGCCTCGGCCTCCCTGATTCCTGGAACCTAAGCTTGCCAAATGGGAACAAATTGCCCCGTAGCTACTGTCTGTGATGGGAGCAGATCAGGACCAGTGAAGTTCTGCGCTCAGACGAACTGTGGCCTCTCGCCCCATGGTCATGCTCAGCCATCCAAGCCTTCAGACTTGGATGGACAGAAGGACAGATGGACGATCTCGAAAGGTCTTCCTGAGCCCACCAAGACTGGTGAGCACTATGCCTTCTTGTTTGTCTGGCTCCGGGTGGCAGTCAGCTGGTGATGCCTGCTCTCTGCTTCTGCTGCAGAGGCTCCTCCCATCTGCCCTGCCCAGGGTGGGGGTGGGGACACTCACCGTTGAGGTTTGCCATCAGGTTGCTGAGTTGCACGTAGCGCTCAAAGGCGGTACGAACTTGGAACCCCACGGCATCTCGCCAGCTCTGCCAGACCCACAGCAGCTCCTGGTGGTCTCGGGAGTTGGCCATGATCTCAATGAGGTCTGGACCCACAAAAAGGAGACCAGATGAGCCCCCCCAACACACATAAACACACACGCATGTTCGCACACACAGACACACACACACACACACACACACACACACACACACACTCCTGCCTTTCTGCCCTCACCTGCCCAGGAGGGAGTTGAGAAGAAGAGAAGGATGGGGAGAGGCTGGGGGAGGACCTTGGGCACTCACCCGGTTCCAGGTCCAGGCATGGTCCTTCATTCAGACACACCTGAGCCATGCTATATGCTGTCTCCATGTTGGCCAGCAGCTGGTTATACTGGGGAGACAGGTGTCACCCAGGGCAGGTCCGTGCCAGGACCCAACCAGGAGGGAGATGCTGAGGCCGGCAGCTTCCCTCCCGGTCCCCACCCTGCCCCCAGGAAGTGCTGCCCCCCCCACCCCCAACCTCCCTCCTACCCAGACACTCTGGCTCCCCATGCAGCCAGCCCTCCCACCCTGGGGGTGGGGAGCATGTGCCTGGAGACCTGGGGGCTCCGTCCATCACCTCCCGGAGCTCGTCCTGGGGCAGGGCTGCTTTCTCTAAGTTCTGCAGCTTACTCAGCATGCGCTTTAGTGTGGGGTCTTGGATGGCAGGGATCTTAAACAGGCGGGCTCGGGTGCCAAAGTACAGCATGTGCTGCGACTTCTCTACCTCTTTTTGCAGCTGGAAAGAAGGGCCGCATATTTGTTGTGGGAAGTGGTGGAAGGGATCTTTGGAGCTTACCTTCCTCCCCAAATCCCCACTCCCACCCCCTGCATCCCATTAGGGTTCACACTGAACAGAAGGGAGAAGGGAGGAAGCCTGGACCCTTAAAAGCAAGGAGGTGGTTAATAAGCACAAGGGAACAGAAACAAGAGATTCTCGCCCAGAAGGTATTTGGGGTCTCCAAGAGGCCTCAAGCTTGCCAATTGCTTTGACATCGGGATATCTTTTCCCTCTAGCTCTGGACAGGGTGGGCAGTAGGTAGGGATCCCTTCCCCTCACCCCCACCCACACCGTGACTCCAGAGGGAGCAAGAGGAGAGGAACTGGGGCACAGTTGGTACCACACCATCTGCTCTCGATTTTTCTTGGTAATGTTGGTAATATAGTTCCAAGTAGCCTCCTCGAGCTCGTTCCATACGAGCTGAGCTGTATTATCATAATACTGCAGGAAGTCAGATGCTGCGGAGTCACTGTAGAAATTTTCTGTTGTGTTCGCACATTCACTTTTGGAGGCGTTTTTCCCTTCCTGAACCCCTTGTGCCTGGGGTTTGATCTCTTTCTCATTTATGTTCCCGAAGGTCAAATCACCCTCAGTCCTGAGCCATGGCAAGAGCTGCCCGTAACAGAAGAAGACAAGGAGGGAAAATCCAGGGCAAGTCCATCTTGTGCCCATGGCCAAGAGAGCAGCAGAGCTGGGTGACGCTGTAGGCCAATCACGATCACGCTCCGCATTGTGACATCAGGGCTGGAGGATCAGCCATGGAATGTCAGCTGAAAAGCCCCCACCCTCCCTTGGATCCAAATGTCCCCATCTGACAGGTGAGAAAACTGAGATGCAGGATGATCAAACCATACAATGTTTTCACACAACTAGTTAGTGTCAGAGCCAAGAGGAGAAACAGAGACCTTGACTTTTAGGCAGGAACTTGTCGCACTCTCCTTGGTAATGTATCTCCAATGGACCTACCCTGGAACCCGGGCCAGAGACTAAGGAGGTTTCCCTCCCTCCACAGGCTGAGATCATCTTGAGTTTGGGGGGGGTGGATAGATGGAAGGACAAATGAATGTATGGATGTATGGACAGACGGATGGATGGACGAAAGGATGGATGGATGGATACAAGGATGGATAGAAGGATGGATGGATAGAAGTATGGATGAATGGATAGAAGTATGGATGGATGAGCAGAGGGTTGAATTGGCAGACAGGGAGATGAATGGAAGGATGGATAGATGGCTGAATGGATGGATGAATGGATGAGCAGATGGATGGATAGGCAGATAGATAGGAGGATGAATAAATGGATGGAAGGATGAATGGATGGATAAATGGATGGATGGATGGATGGTGATGCTATGATGTATTTCTGGACTCTAGAATACCTTTTATCCTGACATTTTGCCTTGACCTCTATAATTACTTGTTTTACCTTTTACTTTTTGTGGGGTTGTGATTATACCCTGGGCAATACAGGACCCTTCCTTTCCCTCATCCTTATACTGCTTCCTCAGGGAGCACCTGATACTGGATTTGCAGCCAGGAGACTGTGGGGTGGGGTGGATGACACCATGCATTCAGGGGATTTGACAGTGAGTCCCTGAGCATGCTTTTAACACTGACTGGCAGTACCCCAGCTTTCCACTAGCCTCTAGTGACTCTGGTATGGTCATGCAATCTGGGGAGACTGGTCCCATTGACCCCATTTTGAGGTCAAACTTTTCAGACTCATCACTTCTTCAGACTCACTTTCCTCCACATACATATTCTCCCATCCTGCAAATCCTTTACTCACTGACCTCAGGTCAAGGTACATCGACATTCTTCACAGGAGCTGCCACTGTGACCAGGGAAACTGACCACATACTTTTCAAATGTGTTCTGTTGTGATCAGAATTTTTCTCTTGTTTGTTCTTTGGGGCATACCTGGAAGTGCTCATCTGACACCTGGCTCTGCACTCAGGGGTCATTCCTGGTGGTGCTTAGGGGACCGTATTGGATGTCAGGGATCAACCTTGGATCAGCTGTGTGCAAAACCAGTGCCTTACCTTCTGTACTATATCTCTGTCATCTTAATCAGAATTGATTTTAAAAAAATTTATTGAACCATAGGAAAAGGAGTTAGTTATGGGGGGAAAAATTTGGCATTTCTGGTTAAATTGGTAGTCTGGAGGCTGGAGACTATAGTACAGTGGGTAAGGCCGATCTGGGTTCGATCCCCAGCACCCCGGATGGTGCCCCAGTTTTCAGCAGGTTAGCATCTCTGTGAGGTTCCATCCTGAGGTGTCCATGTCCAGCTGGAGGCATGGTGGCAGCTGCTGCCAGGGCTTGGGTAGGGCCCACCCTCCTCCTGACATTGCTCCAGAGGCCTCAGCCAGGATCAGGCATCTGAGAAATTTTCACATCCAAATTCCTGGATCTTGTGGAATTTCTCTGGTTAATATTTTGAGATCCTGCTGTATCTGCTGCTGTCTGCGGAGATCCCACCAGTGTGCAGGCTTGCCCACACAGCACCGGGGTTCCCATTTCTCTAGGTCCTTATCAAGATGTGGTTTTCCTCCTTTATCTGAGTCTAGTCATGCTAATGGGCATGAAGTGACAGCGAACTGTGGTTCATTTCAGAGGCGAGACAGCGCACTCCACACTTCATTTTTCATTCACATGCTGTCTCTGGGAGCCTGGGGACTCAGTAGATCACCAATTTATTATAAAGGTGACTGATCAGAATCAGCAGTTGGAAGAGGTGCATTGGGCTAGTCAGGAGGGGAGAGCACAGAGCATGCTGGGCACGCCTCCCCACCAGGCTCACCAATCAGAAAGCTCCTCCAAGCCCCTCTGAGTGGGGTCTTCACAATGGCTTCATTCTCAGTGGCCATTGGCAACTGAAATTTAGCTCCAGTCCCTTTCCAGAGGCCTCCCAGAGGTGTTTGGGGTGGAGCTGGAAGTTCTCACTCTCTAATCACTTAGGCAACCAGGCTGGAAGGATCAAGTTAACAAAGACACCTTTATCATTCCCAATGCTTTAGGGAACACCCATGGGTTTGAGGAGTCAGGAATTCTGGATGGTCAAATATATGAAAAATGATATCACTTGAATGATCAAATACATTTTTCTTGACAATTACAAAATTATCCGCAGAGTTTTTACTGAGGAGTTTACTAAAACATTCAAGTTTTACTTTCCCTCCCACCTCCCAGACAAAAATAAAAACAAAAACAAAAACCCCAGACAAAGCTGAGTCTGGGAAAAGGAGCTCAGGAAGGAGAGAGCCCTTAGCTCGAAAGTCCTGCCAAGCCAGCCAGCTGTCACACACTACTCTGATCCTTTCTTCACCTCTTGGCTGAGGGGCTGATCTTGGGCCCTCAGCTCTCATTGTCTGAGCATAGGGATGTTGAGTCATGAGGGGGAGGCCAAAGAATGACGTTTTCAGGGCCAGAAGATGGCTCAAAAGTCTGGAATGCGGGGCTGGAGCGATAGCACAGCAGGAAGGGTGTTTGCCTTGCACGCGGCCAACCTGGGTTCGATTCCCAGCATCCCATATGGTCCCCCAAGCACTGCCAGGAATAATTCCTGAGTGCATGAGCCAGGAGTAACCCCGTGATCGCCGGGTGTGACCCAAAAAGATAAAAGTCTGGAATGCATGTGCTGCAGGACTGAGGCCCTAAGTTTAATCCCTAGTACCTCATGGTCCTCTGAGTACGCCACCAGTAATGATCCCTAGGCCCTCCAAGCACCATTAGAGAAAATACAAAATATATTTATGAAGAGCAAAGAGGGTAGCTGGAGGAAGCGCATAGGGAGTAGGGTACAAGGCCAACTTATTTTTTTTTTTAATTTATTTATTGAATCACTGTGGGAAAGGTTACAAAGTTTTCAGGTTTATGTCTCAGTCATGCAAATATCAAACACATTTCCCTTTACCAATACTTATTTTTTACCATGAAGAACCCCAATAAAACCCCACCCCCCACCCCTCCCCATCCCTGTGAAGCAGATGAATTCTAGTTAACACTCTGTCTGCTTTGATTAGATTCATTGTTTCAATAAAAGATTCACCACTATTATTTAGAGTTTACCCCCCCCCAAATCAGACATGCTGAAAAAGCATTGTGAAGTGATTTGCTTTCTACGGCTGGGTTCAAGAATTAAATGTTGGTTTTGGATTTCTGCTCTTTTACCTATTGACCCTGGAAGTATTTCTACTGAAAGTCAGATAGTTAAGAAATTGGTTTCTGTGTTCTGGAGTCCTGGCCGTGCTGGAGAGCCGCTCGCGGGGGGCAACCGGTGGCCTCGGTAGGGCGTGAAGGGTGGACCGAAATGCCCCCCTTCCCATGAGGTTTTAGTCGCCCCCACACTCCCGGCTCATACCTGCTGTCCACAAGGCTCCCATGTGGCCGCCATCTTTCTTTCCAGAGAGGAGAGGGCGAATGGGGCAACACCCTTTCCCCTCCGGCAGACTTGATGGCCTGGATCAATGCAGAGTCTGTTCACTTTTCTGCTCCAAGCTGCTGGGTTCTGCATTAAGTCCTTGTGCTTCTGGGGCCGTGGCCGTGCTGGAGAGCCGCTCGCGGGGGGCAACTGGTGACCTCGGTAGGGCGTGAAGGACGGACCAGAACGCCCCCCTTCCCATGAGGTTTTAGTCGCCCCCACACCCCCGGCTCATACCTGCTGTCCACAAGGCTCCCATGTGAAGGCCAACTTATTTGATCCCCAGCACCCCAAGGTCCCCTGAGCACTGTCGGGTGCAGCCTGGAGGTCCCCATCAGTGCTAGTGTGGCCCTGAGGCACCCCTGATCACAACGGGATGCCCATTTTGGTCCCCAGCACCACAGGGCCCGAGCAGCACCGCATTCCCGGGCCCACACCTTGACCACCAGCCCAGTTGGCTTGAGACTCCCTGGGAGAAAACCTAACCCACAAAAATTATATATAATAAAAACAGCCCAAAACCCAAGAAAGCAAACAATAAGAATCTTTGCCAGGAGAGGATGCATTCATTAGAGAGAGAGAGAGAGAGAGAGAGAGAGAGAGAGAGAGAGAGAAAGAACTGTACTAGGAATTTCATTTCATGGTCACAGCAATCACAAGAGTGCGTTTTGAGAATCCTTGTATTGCTATGAAATGAAATTGCTTGAGTAACATGTGTCGGAAGCACAGGGCTGAGAGGACTGGGGGCCCTAGAGAGTCTGCTGAGCCAGTGGGGAGGGGCGGAGCTGGGAGGCCGCAGGCTGAGGGGTGTGGGCAGTCAGGGAAACTGTCCCACACCTGCTGGCCATGGAGAGAGAGCAGGCTCAGGCAGGCTCTGACTTCACACTCACTGGAAGAAAAGGCTGGAACCGCTGCCTCTTCTCTGGCCCTTCCAGGCCCACCCGACCTCGCTCTCTGCCCCCTCCCCAGTAGGTAGAAACAGAAGTCTGGAGGCTTTAAACCTTTCAGTGCATTTAGCAATTAAGACTGTTCAGGCTGACCCCAATGCTGTTGACTTTTTTTTTTGGCTTTTTGGGTCACACCCGGTGATGCACAGGGGTTACTCCTGGCTCTGCACTCAGGAATTACTCCTGGGGGTGCTCAGGGGGACCATATGGGATGCTGAGAATCGAACCCAGGTCGGCTGCATGTAAGGCAAATGCCCTAAACGTTGTGCTATTGCTCCAGCCCCCTGACTTTCTATTTTGGAGGGTTTGAGCCACAGTGCTTGTGGGACCAGGAGGTATCAGGGATCAACCCAGGAGGTTCCTGCATGCAAAGCCTGTGCTCCAGCCCTTTGAACCGTCTCCCCATCAGCTCCCATCATCCATTTCTTCATTCTCCATCTATGGCTCAACCCTTTCAATGCCTTTCTGTGGCCCACAACCTCGGGGAAGAGGGGTGATGCACCCCAAGGTTCATAGAGGTGGTGCCGGGGGTGATGGAGAGTGGGTTGTCTGGCAGGCAGGGAGCTCTGGAAACGTTCGACTGGAAGAGGTTAGTGGGATTCTGCAGTGGGAGAAGGATTGGAACCATTTAGAGGTTTTGTTTAAAAATTCCATTGTCCTAAGTAATTTGTAAACTTCCACCCTCTTGCATATCCAAAATACCTCCACTCCACATCCTGGCCCAAGGAGCGGGCCCAGACAATCATGTCTATGTGTCATGAGACTATGCGTACACACATACACACACACACACACAGACACACCCCAGCAGCAGTTGGGGGAAGGGCAGAATCTGTGGACTAAAGGACACTGGGAGATAAGCATTGGGGTGTGGCCTGGCATGGATGAAAGCATCACAAAGCCAGGAAGCTGCCTGGGGCCCAGGATTCTGCGCCAGGCTGAGCATGGAAGATGTTGGGCTCTGAACCCACTCTTTAGACACGAAGGCAAAAATTATGAAAACGTTTCTCCATAGGGCTTTTCCCCCAATCCATCGGCCTTCTGAAGGCCAGCTCAGGGAATGGGCATGTGCTAGGGGCCAGCGGCTATGGCCATGTTCTCGCCTTCGGAGCCTGTCACTGGGACCTGATCTGGGCTCCCCTCTGTCTATCATGTGGGTCACATGGAACCTGTGCTGACCACAGGGCCATACTTGTGTGTGCAGGGAAGGGTAACTCCCTTGAGGTACCCAAGGACCTGGGGCCATCAGGGAGCCGAGACCATCAGGGTACCATTTGGGGGCTCATCCTTTATGGGGACAGCTGGGGTGGGGTATACTGTGAGATTCCAAAAGCAGGAGGAATGGTTAGGTCAAAGGCCCCAGATGTCTGCTCCCTCTACCTTGCTCCCTGAGCCCCCCGGTATCTGGCCAGGCAGGACACAGGACCCCTGTGGGAGCCGGCAGGAAGTTGGTGTGAGCCTGCATGGGCTGGGCTGGGCTCTAGCCATTTCTCCTGGCTCTCCTTGGCACAAGCTGATAATGCCCAGTCACGCCCGCGTGCTGGCCTGGAGGCAGGAGGGCATCCCTGTCCCTGTTCCTGTCATCTCAGAGGGACAGAGACACAGAAGGGAAGGGCAGGACCTTTTATTACGTTCACACACACAAAAAAACAACAACCAAAACGGTGGCAGCATGGTATCTGCAGACCGGGCTGGGAGCCTGGCAGGTGGAGCGTGCAGAATGGGCCTTCAGCACAGCACTGGATGCAGAGGGTGGAAGGGGCAGGGCTGGAGGCGGGGGGTGGGGCTGAGATGGGCTCGAGAGCCCCATCCTTGATCTGGCCCCGCCGGGCCTTCAGGAGTTCCTGAGTTCCACCTCCGAGCCGAACGGGGGCCCACTTTGCATCTGATGGCGGCTCTGCTTGCGCATGCGGAAGAGCCGCTGGGTGAGGCCCAGTGTGGCCACCAGCAGGGCCACGCCCAGGAACAGCAGCAGCCACTGGCCCACACGGGCCTGCTGCTCCTCCAGATTCATGCCCAGGAAGTTGACGAGGCCGCTGCCTCCTGAGGCGTCGTTGGCACGAGCTGGGCAGGGAGAGAAGAGGAGGAGGCGGCCATGGGCAGGCAGCGAGAGGACCGAGGGGCCAATCACCCGGCACTCTCTGTCCTGGCTCTGTGCTCACATACAAACTTGCCTGCGCTGGGACTGGGGTGCAGCCCTGAACGGATTCGGGGGAGGCCCGAGGCTGAGAAGGGGTAGGTGGTGGTACCCGAGTCTGGAGACCAGTCGTACTGGGGCCAGCCCAGTTTCTCCCCATGCCGCCCGTTCTCCGTGACCAGCCAGTCCAGCAGCGGCTTGAAGTAGTTGAGCATGGCCGAGGCTGACATGTTGGGCTGGCCCGTGAGCAGCTGCATGGCCTCTGGCCACGGCTTGCTGAATCCCAGTCTCAGCGCATCCCTGGGGGGGGGGGGGGGAAGGGGGGGCGGCACACAGGAAGGGAGACGGAGTGAGAAGGGCCGGGGAGGCTCCACGCCCCACCCTGTGCTGCAGCCTCATTCCCCCTGTGGGGACACAGATGTCCCCCACCCTGGGGCTCGATCCCTGGCATTCAAGGGGATCAGGGACAGGGCCCCACTGTCTGCGGGAGGGACGGTCACTCACGCCAGAAGCTTCCCCGCCTCCTTGGACTTGTAGATGTCACACTTATGCAGGGGGCCCGTGTGACCAGCCGCCTGGCACAGCGCCTCGTGGAACTGGAACTGGATGAAGAAACCGATGAAATACCTGCAGGAGAAGGAGGGCACGGCCCGGGGTGAGGGGCTGGAAGGACCAGGCCTCCCAGCCCCCTCTGCCCACTGCAGTAATGGCCATCAGAGGAGCCCGGCCAATTTCAGAGTCACCATGCTGGCCGCAGCCGCAGCAGGGAGGGCTCCTGGGGGACCAGGGGCTGCCCCGGCTGCATCTTCTCCAGTCCTGCGGTGGCAGGAGCTCCAGGTGGGCTCTCAGTGCTGGATGGTGTGGGGTGGTGGGGTGGGCACCTTTCACTGTCCCAGCTCTGCACAGGCCCCACTCAGGACACCGGGCATGAGCTGTGTGCCCATCACTTTTCCTGCCTTCCTGTATGGCGGCCTGCCCAGGCTGATAGTCAGGCTTTGGCCTGACTCCCATTGGCCCACTCCTGTCTGGGGACTGCTCTACGCTGCACTCTAGAGTGACCAGGTGGGCCTGGCTGCCACCCTGGCTCCCGGACCCCCCGTGGTAGGTGGAAGCCTTTCCTGCGAGGAGGGGACTACTGTGTTCCTGGCACACGGTCCCGCTCCCACAGCTTCCTGGACTCGGGGGGACAGTCTGCTGTGCCCTGCTTGTTTCTCAGTTCTTGCCCCTGTGCTGACCTCATGGGGTACAAAGGTGGGCTCCAAAGAACAGAGGGGACAAGTGCTGGTATGGCCACACCACCTGGAGCAGTCCCCACGGTTCTCTGAGCCTCACTTCAGTGGGGGCGTGCGCTCTCTCCAGAATCCCACCAACTGGGGGCCAGTGCTCCAGACCTCAGGGTTTTCTGCAGGTACTCCAGACCCCAGGGTTTTTCTGCTGCGCCACTGGCAGGAGCTTTCCTGCCACCACGTGAATGCAGGAGGCTGTGCTGGGCCTCCCTGGGCATGTCCCTGCCTGGCCGCAGGCTTGCAGACCAGCCTGTTTACACATTCCATTCCTGAGAGGCATTTCAGACCCGGGGGTTCGAGCAGCGATTTCCTGGGCTGACAAGGCAGCTCCCGAAAGGAACTGAGATGTTAGCTCTTGTGACAATCCTGGGAAATGGGACTGTATGGGGTGGGGGGTGAGGGTGGGAGCAGGGCAGGCATATGTCCAGGGGGCTGAGGCATTTACGCAAGGAAACAGGGAAGGGGTGGGGGGACTGGAGCCACTTGACTGGCCCAAGCTTAGGACCCCATGCAGCCAACCACACAGCCTGTGGCTCTGGCTGGGTCTCCAACTCAGCTTTGCTTAGACAGAGGGGTTTCCACTGCCTGCTCCCACCGGCTCCCAGGCCAGACACCTGCACGCAGTATGGGGATGACCATTTTGTTGAGAGCACAAAACCCCAGTACACACCATGATCTGGCCAGGGGCTGTGGTTTACAGGAACGAGCCGAGGTCTTGCACCCACTGGTCAAGTGTACATGGGGTTTCTGCTCTTTTGTTTTTGGGAGTTGGGTTTGGGGGCAGTGTTCAGGGGGCCATTCAGTGCTGGAGATGGAACCTGGGTGGCAGCTCTTTAAATCACTTTCCTCACCAGGGCTTTCTCCTTTGCGTTTACTGGGTGGTCGTGAAGTCATGGGGGGCATGGATCTCTGGCAAGAGGCTCAGGTGCCACAGCTAGTGGCCATGAAGCTCTCTCAGGCAGCCGGGAGATAGCCCCTGGGTGCTGCGCGCATCACTCCCAGCTCCTCCCCCACTCCCAGCTCTGTTCCTTTGAGGCCACACGCAGAAGTGTTTGGGGATGACTTCACGCCAGCCCTCTGAGCTCTCTCTGATCACCCCCACCCCTTACCTGATATAAGGCACATTTGCAGGAATGTGGAACTTGGCCCCTGGGTCAAAGTCATCTTGAGACCTGGGTACTGGGGGACATAGGCCCTGGTACTTCAGCCTGTCAGGGTGAAGATGGATTGGAGAAAGGGTTTGGGGAGTGGGGAAACTGAGGTGGGGGAGGTTCCTTACAGCTGGGGTGACACCAGGCCCCCCAGACTCCTCCATGCTAAGCCCTCTGTGCCCCATCTCCTTCTGTGCTCCATCTCACTCACCACACACACATACACACACACACACACACACACACACACACACACACACACACAGGTAACCTCCTCCTCTCTCCCCGCCTCAGCCTCACAGGAACATTCTAGAACCTGAGGCTCCACCACTCCTGGTTGTAGTGCTCCTTGGTGATGCTGCCATCAAACACCTTCCAGCGCCACTGGTCGATGAGGTAGCTGAAGGGGATGAAGGCCACCTTGTCGAGCGCCATCTTCATCAGGAAGTTGATGTCTTCCTCTGCCAGGAAAGGCGAGATGGCCTTCAGCCCACCTGCCTCCTACAGGCCCAGCAGCTCGGCTGTGGGAGGGGTGGACTGGGGGCAGAGGAAAGGGGCAGGCTGGACCCTTTGGGTTCTCTGACCTGCTCACCTGGGCTGGTCTGTGGGTTCCAGCTCACCCTACCACTGGCTCCCATCCTCCCCCAGGGCCCTGCCCCCACCTCTGTGGGTGGCCCCTCCTGGCCTTCTCTCACCGTAGCTGCCACTCTCACTGCTCAGCAAGTTGATACTGTGGAGGTGCTTGGGGGTGGACACCGAGAGGGTCAGCACATCTCCAATGGCCTCATGAAAGCCAGGGTTGGCGCCCTCCCGGAAGGTTATGGGCTGGTCCTTGTACTGCATGAAGTACTGGATGTGGCCCATCTCATGGTGTACCACCAGCAGCTCCTCCATGTTCACGGTGGTGCACTGCTTGATCCTGGAAACATGGGAACAGAGGGCTTGGTGAGGGGACCCCACTACCATTATGTGCAGGAAACGAGCATGACAAACGGGAAAGCCAAAACAAGGTACCTGGTGGGTCAGGCTGCATCACTGCCTCTAACATCTCACCCAACCCCAGTTTATGTCGCCACAGTGCTCTCTGACCACGACATATGCAGGCCCCAGAGGCCCCTGGGCCCCTCAGTGCCGGCCCATGCTGAACTTTCTAGAACAGGGGCCCTCTGGTTCCTCATAGACACATCCAATCTCTCCTAAGACTTCAGCTCCCTGGAGGAGTGAGAGGGCTGAGTGTCTCAGTGAGGCTCAGCACACCCGCTGGGACTCCTCTGGTGCCTGCGACCCCAAGGACACTGCAGAATGGCCCTGGACTTCCTCCTGCTTCCCCCGTTTTCCTTTTTTTGTGACTCAGTGAAATTTCTTCCCAGCTCTGATCTGGGTCCTCGAGTTCAGTTGACTTTCTGTCCCCGACCTGAGTGGGCAGGAGAGCTGCCCTGTGCTGGTGACAGCGGGCGGAGGACCCAACTTCCCATGCACGGCGGGCCCCCCCACCCCGAGAATGCTCGCCCTCTTGTTTCAGTCCCCACCAGCCCTCTGGCCACAGCCCTCATGCTTTGGGAGGTCCTGGGCCAGCAAGCCCGTGCATGCGCTGGGTCCTGTTCATTCCGCCACTCACTTCTCTCTGCTCACCCCCTTGGCAGCCCACCCTGGCTTCTTGCCCTCTGAAAAGGGCTTTTCTGCCCTTCTTTTACACGTGGGAGGACCTTGCGATGCATTTGATGGTGTCACTTTTGAGATTCGCCTTAAAGAGATCTGGCGGTTGGGATGCAGACAGTTCAATGGTCTGGAGCACACGCTCCGCTCATGCCCTTATGGACCCCCAACACTGCCCCAAATCCCCGAGCACTGCTGTGTAGCCCTATCACCCCCTCCCCAGCAAAAATATAATAATAATAATAAAGAAAGATCTGGCAGTTTCTGTTAACCACCCGTCCCCCTCAGGCGGGGTGGGGGAGGGGCGGGGAAGGGAGGCTGGTGGCCAGGAGAAGAATCTGAAGCCCCTCACAGCCATCCCAGAGGGGCCCAACTAAAAGGACTGATGTCCGGCCAAGTGTCAGCCTGGCCTGGGTACCCAGTGAGAGCCCGCGACCAGCTCCTGCATGTCCACCCAGAGTGTGTCTGGGAAGGACACCCGAGCACAGAGCTGACAGGAGCCTGCTGAGCCGCCCCTCATACTGACTCCTCGGAGCTCGCGGCCCAGGACTCCTGCAGGGTGGGGCAGGACATCACCACACCGGTGCCTCCCCCACCCCAAGTCCAGCACACATAGTGGGGCCAGGGATAGCTGCACACGGGAGCCACTCCCAGTGGAATACACGACTGTCCAAAGTCACTTGTTTTCCCCCCAAGTGGCCAGGGCTGCTCAGTGCTCGAATACCCCTCCACCACACCCCATCTGTAGGGTGGGGTTTCCCTGCCCAAAGCCAGCGGCCAAGCTAGTGCTATCCCCCTCTCTGGCCTCTTTGTCCAGGCTCTGGCACTTGCAGCCCTCTCAGCTTGTTTTGGCCCCAACGGGCTTGTCTCTTCAGGACTCACCTGAAGTCCCGGCCATTGTAGAAGTCCCAGGCCGAGGCGTGGCATACCACCTCCCGCCCGTCAGTCGGCTTCTCCAGCATGGACTTATTCCAGAACTCGGGGGGCACGGGCAGCATGCCCAGGGAGGTGAAGAAATTGTCGGCTTCTTCAAACATCCTTTTAGGGGTCCATCCCTGCAAGCAGAAGGGGGTCTGCCTAAACCGGAGACCACAGGGCCAGCAGGGAGCAGAGGGCATCTCCCACCCAGCAGGACCTCCCCCTCCCCCGGTCTCGGGGGTTGCCCAGAGCGACCCGTGAACAGTGTGAAACCTGTTTGATCATGTTCTCTGTGACATCCAACTTGGGGGCTGATGGAAAGGGGACCACCAGGTCGTAGATGTTGGACCAGGTCTGTGCCCACATGTTGCCTGGAGGTGGGAGGGAGAGAGAGGAGACAGGCCATCTGTGAGGTGCCTGCTGCTAGGTACCTGTGAGGTGCTTGTGAGGCACCTGTGAGTTGCTTGCGTGAGGCCTGTGAGGTGCTTGTGTGAGGCCTGTGAGGTGTTTGTAAGGCTCCTATGAGGTGCTTGTGTGAGGCGCCTGTGAGGTGCTTGTGAAGTGCTTGTGAGGTGCTTGTAAGGCTCCTGTGAGGTGCTTGTAAGGCTCTGAGACACTGGGACTGAGGTCTGCTCAGAGCGAGCTAGGGAGTAGGTCTTTCCTGAGCCAAGGAGAGAGAGTCTGGGCAGACCTAGATGATGGCGTGTAAAGTGCAAGGTAGCAAGAGAGGGTGTGAGCAGAGCTTGCAGGGGGCTGAGTGCCCATCTGTGCCTGCATTCCCCCCCCCCCGCCCCCTGTCCTACCACTCAGGAGATGTGGGCCATAGGCCTCCATCCACAAAATGGGGTGCCTAGTGTGAACAAAGAGCTTGTCTCCCCACCCCCACCCTGCCCGCTCGGGGCTCCAACCCTCCTATTGCCCAGGGTCACGTGCCCCTCAGAGACCCCTGCTAGCCTGCCCTCCCATCCCCAGCACTCCCGCCACCCCCGCGTCCCTAGCTGTGGGCCTGGGTGGAGCAGTACTCACCCAGCAGGTGGGCGGGGATGGGGCCCTCCAAGTGGATGTGCTGGGGCCCGTAGTGGCGATGCAGGGCCCGGCGCACGTAGGCGTGTAGGTTCAGGTAGAGCGGCTGCAGCTCATCCAGCAGCTGCTCCAGGATAGGCTCCAGGGCTGGCGTCTCGTACACTGCCCGCCACCCGTCTCCTGCGTCTCTGTAGCCTGTGGGGACATCACCAGGCTCCTGGCTTTCCTGACACCTGGCCTGGCCCTGAGACCCTCCCCCATAGGCTCCCACCCCACCCCAGTGGGGGCTCAGAAGCTTTCTGCGGTACAGGGGGCTACACTCACCATTGAGCTGGGCTGCCTTGTTGCTGAGTTCCACGTACTTGGGGAAAGAAGAGCGGATGGATTTGCCCACCTCGTCCCGCCAGCCCTTCCAGGCCCATAGCAGCTGCTCGTAGTTCCGGGATGTGGCCATAATAGAAGTGAGATCTGGGGGTGGGGGACAGAGGTGTGAGTCCCCCCAACCCCCAGCCTTGGCTGACCTCACAGCTCCTGCGGATGAGCTGTGACACTACTGAGCACCCCCCCCCCGGAAGTGAGTGGGGGGGGGTGGGCAGAGGGGCTGAATACAACTCAGAGAGCTGCAGAGATCACCCGCCTCTCGGGAAGCAGCTGCTTCTGCCTGAGGGGCTTGGGGTCAGAGATTTGTATTCAATTCTGTGTGAGGCACCCCAGGAAAAGCTAGCATAGAGATCACAGGTGCAAAAAAAAAATCACATACACACACAAAAAAAATCAATGAGAACTAAGCTCTGGAAAATGAGAATTGAATAAGAGACAGTCTCAGGAGCACTAGAGAAAAAAAATGTCCGAATAGAAGAAATCCATAGGTAACCAAAGCATCAAATTGAAAGGAAAATAAAATTGGTGGGGAGGGGTGTCCACACCCAGCAGCACTCAGGACTTATTCCCCTGGGTTCTATGTTAGAGATCGTTCCTGGGGGAAAACTTATGGGATACCAGGGGATCAAACTGGGGTCAGCCGCATGCAAGGCAAACATCTTATCCCTGGGGGGAATCTCTCGGGCCCTATTCAATATTCTTTAATCAACTAATTTTCTTTTTCATTAATGTAGAAGCAAAACCCAAACCTCTCTAGCATGAATTTGTCCCAATGATTTGTGTGGATTCTCGCCAGAGAAAATATCACGAGAGATAACACTGAGTTTTCTCGGCCAGCTGCTCCCCGGGGCTACCGGCTCTCCAGGGAGCGAGAGCTGTGCCTCTAGCACCCATCTAGCATATGACCAGTAACGGCCTCTCTCCCATGCGCTGGCTGTCCATTTTGGTCTGAGGAAGTCAGACCTGCTGGGCTGTCAAAGTTCAAGGTGTTTCAGCGTTCAGGGTTAGAGTGATAGTACAGCTGATGGAGCACTTGCCTCACATGAGGCCAGCCCGGGTTCGAACCCTGGCACCCCATATGGTCTCCTAAGCACCGCCAGGAGTAACCCCTGAGTGTAGAGTTAGGAGTAACCAACTGCTGAGCATTGCTGGGTGTGACCCCAAAACAAAGTGTTTCAACATTCAGCTTCGAAGTGCCGACCCGCTTCTCGGGGTGGTTCAGAAGGTGACTGAGCTTGGGTGAAACCACCATCCAACTCCGAAGCGACTGTGCCTTCAACTCCACTAATGCCCTCCTATCCAGGAGAAGTGACTTGGAAACCAAAAGACCTGAGTTTTCTTTTTCACGGTTGCCTTTTGGGTTTTTTTTTTGGCGGGGGGGGCAGGGGGAGTCCGTACCCAGGAATGTTGGGAGAGGGTGTGTGGGGGGGGGCACACACAGCCAGGATGAACACGTGTGCTCCAGCCCTGCGAGCCAATGGAAGCCTTGTACAGGAAGCACTGTCCTCCCTTTGTTCATGGATTTGCTCGAGCGGGCCCAGTAACATCTCCATTGTGAGACTTGTTGTTACTGTGTTTGGCATATCGAATACATCATGGGGAGTTTGCCAGGCTTTGCTGTGCGGGTGTGATACTCTTGGTAGCTTGCCTGGCTCTCCGAGAGGGGTGAGGAATCGAACTCGGGTTGGCCGTGTCGACCACATGCAAAGCAAACGCCCTACTGCTGTGCTATCACTCCAGCCCTAGGAGGGTTTTTTTTTCTGGTTGGGTGGTTGCACTCAGTGTGCCTGGAGGGTTGTGTGGTACAGGGTTTGGAGCTGGGACCCTCTACTCCCAGTGCAGAGCTGGTGCTCAGTCCACTGGGCCATCCTGTTAGTCCCAGACCCGCATTCCTGATCCTCCCATTTGCCTCGCCCTCGAGTCATCTTGCAAGTCCTAAGAACTCATGGACCGTTTACATCCCCCAGCCCCCGCTACCCCTTCCAGGGGGGGCAAGAAGTCGAGCCCAGAGCAGGGAGTAGCTTCCCTCCTGTGCACCCGGGGAATGTCTCATGTGCTGAGTGGAAAGAACCCTGAGCTGCGAGGGTCAGAGAACCAGGACTCATCCCTGCCAGCAGCTTCACATCCTGGCTCCCGGCCAAGGGAGGACACGGGGCAAAGCTGACGTGAGTGGCGCGGAGCCCGTCTACAGCCAAGCCGAGGGGCATTCCAGGATTTCACGTGAACCAGAACGTGCCTGGAATGCAAGGCCAGGGGATCACCCGCCTCTTCTTGGACTCTGTCTCTGTCTCTCTATGTCTCTGTCTGTCTGTCTGTCTGTCTCTCTCAGACATGCTGCATCAGATCTACTTCTCCCAGGAGAGCACACTCCAGAGCGATCTCATTTGAGTGGAGGAAATGCACTTTAAGAATTTCACATCTGCTGCTGAGGGGTTCTGGTTTTTGTTTGTGGGTGCGTCGGATCCCTGATCCCTTTAAGACTCTTCTCGTCGCCTCGTGCATGCACGCCCCCCACACCCCAACTTCACGTGAGCACGCACACCCAGAGCAACAGGCCCACCCTGTCCTAGGAAAACCGTCTCCCACTCCTGTTTATTTTCCATTTCCCCTTCTATTTGTCATTGTTCTGATGTGGAAGTTGGGCGGCGGCCAGGAAGAGCGGGTTCTGGGTGGGGGTGGTTCAGGAAGAAGGGAGAGGGGACTCCTTAGCCTTGGGCAAGGAGGGTGCTGTCAGGAGGGAAGGGGGCTCTGCGGTGTGCAGGTGTCTGCTGGACAGGTCCAGCTCTTTTGTGGGGTGCAGCAGGTGCATGGGGAGCCTGCCCATCAGAGCCAACAAGAGGGCGGGTGGGGGAACAGTGTGGGACTCTATTTCCTGTATCTGGGGGGGTGGTTAAAAGGGAGAGGAGGTGGGATCAAGGCAGGCACACTCGAGGTGTGGGGGTGTTGCCTAAGTTACTCCCCACAGGGGCATCCTGGCCCTGGACAACAGCGATGACAAGACATCATCATCTACAGCGGGGAGTAGGGGGAGCAGTGGGGAGAGCAAGGAGCACAGCACCTCAGGGACAAGGATAAGGGGGTGGGGGGACTGGTCCTAAAGAGGGCAGTGAAGCCCCTCCCAGAAGGGAAACAAGGAAGTGGGGTTTCCAGGCCCAACTGAGCCCTGAGTTCAAAGGTCAGGAGCGAGCACTCCTTTTCCCGGGTGCCCCCCCTCTGCCTGCGGGTACTCACCAGGCTCCAGCGACAGGCAGGTGCCATTGTCATGGCACACGGAGGCCACACTGTAGTTGGTTTCCATGTCCAGCAGGATCTGGGTGTACTGCGAGAGGGATAGGCGGGGCCAACGGCACATCAGCACCAGAGGGGCCGCATTTTTCTCGCCCATCCGCAGGGGACTCCCGCGTGCCTGTGACCCAGGCAGGTGGGAGGCGGGCAGCGGGAAGGCCGGCCCCCATGCAGGGGGTCATCTGCGCCCTGCTCCCCATGCAGCCACACACCTCTGTCAGTTCCTTGGGGGGCAGTGCCGCCCGGTCGATGTGCTGGATCTTCTTGATCATCCGCTTCATGCTGGCGTTCTGGAAGTTGGTCACGTCAAACTGCCGGGCCCAGAGGCCGAACTTGACTGTGTGGTTAGCCATCTGGGCGTTCTTCTCCATCTGCCAGCAGAGAGGCCGTGTCATGCGGCCCAGAGCTTTGGGGGTACCAATGGGGCTGTGGGAGTGGTGGGGGGGTGGGGAGGGCTGGAGGAAGGGGCAGTTTCCTTGTGTTGCTGCCTTTGCCTATATAGATACTCTTTGCACTGGGGCCCCTGATAATGTCCCGGGTGCTGGGTCTGTTCCTCCTCCTATGCCCACACAAGCAAAACATATCCCAGGACCCTTACTGAAGGCTGCTCCATTGGGAGCTACTTAGGAGTTTGCATCAGTGGCCGCTAAGTCCCATCTCTAAAATGAACGTCAAAACTATCTCTAAAATGAACATCAAATTCCTGTATTGTATGTGTGTGTGTGGGGGAGGGCTACACCCAGCTGTGCTCAGGAACTCCTCCTGGCAGTGTGCAGGGATCAAACTGCGGGTGCCGTGAGCAAAGCAAGCAACTATGTCCCTGATCAAGTCTGGGACCAGAGACAGTTCAACAGACTGCAGCACTTGCCTTGTCTGAGGGAGTCCCAGTACCTCATGGTCTCCCAAGCACTGGCAGGGGGAATCCCTGAGCACTGCACTAGGAATAGCCTCTGAGCACCACTTGGTGTGTCCCCCAGCCCTGAAATAAAGGCTCTCTGCTTTTGCAAGGCTGCTGAGGAATGAGGCCACAGAGTGGAGTGCTGAGAGGCAGTGGGCACAGAGTAGGGCCTCACAGGCCAGCCCTGTTTCAGAATAGCCCACATTTGTCCCCAAGCAGACGGGGTGTTGGTGAGGACAGCATGGCCCACAGCGGTGGCTAACACAGACTTTCAGTGTCTCCTTCCCTCTATTCAACCTATAGCTGAATTCCTTCATTAACACCAGCCGGTGGCTAATTAAAGAAACGTTTTGGCATTAAGGACCAGCCACTCACCCCCTAAATCTGCAATTAAAGTGATATTGTCAAATATTGTCGAACTTTGCAGGAAGGGGTGTTTAGACCACACCTGGCAATGTTCATGGGTGCTTCCTGACTTGGTGGCAGGGGGCAATGGTTTGCTCCTGACGGTGTTGGGGGCACTATGCAGTGCCGGGGTAAAACCTGGACCTCCCACATGCAAGTCTGCGCTCAATCCCCGGGCCTGTCCCCTCCCACACTCAGAATGCGAACTTGAGCACATTCTGAATCTCCTGCTCTGAGGGTTCATGGGCATCTGTGCGTGCAGGGGCTGGGGGGGGGTGGTCCCTACCAGGATCTTGCTGTTCTCTGTGCTGATGTTGGTGTTGTAGCTCCAGCTGGCCTCGGTGTACTCATTCAACACCACCTGGGATTTCTGCTCATATTCCTCCAAAAATTCGCTGGCCTTTGTCTCATCGGTCACCAGGTCTGAGGACAGGGTGGAGGCAAACAGATGGGTCACCCCCTGTCTGCTCTGCACGGGGCTGGTGCCCCTCCCTCCCTGCCCCTCAGGGGGCCCCACCCCACCCTTCTGGCTCTTGCTTATGTTCCTGGAGGTTGTTCTGGGGGCCTGGCTGCTGACTGCGGGCGGGCTGGCCAGCCCCTGGGGAGTGGTTCCTTTGCTGGAGACCCGCAGGGGGTGCCCGCAGCAGAGCAGGAGGACGAGCAGCCCGGGCAGAGCTGGAGGAGGGCCCATGGTGGTAGCCCAGCACAGCCCCGCGGCCACTAAGAGCAGGACTCTAGCCAATGGGAGTGGGCTCTGAAGTGTGACCTCACAAAGTGTGGCAGCTGGCAGCAGCCCCACCCAGCACCCCGGACAGACGAGGTGCACCTGCCTGGGGTGTGGGGGAGCCCCAGAAGCTCCCCAGATGCCCCCTCTGCCAAGTGGCAGGGGGAAAGTGTTGGGCCCGGCAGGAGGAACCGAGTCGGGAGCCCAGAGGGCTGTGCCAGCCCGTCCTTCTCAGCATCTTACCAAAGCCCTCTGGGTAATTGGGGGGCAGCGGGGGACGCCACTGATACTCTGGCCATCCCAGGACTTCCTGGTTCTTCCGGTTCTCCTCCTCGAGCCACTGGGTGACCGGCTGGAAATAGTCGAGCAGCGGCTGCACGTCGAGCTTGTCTGTGCCAATCACTTCCTTCAGAAGATCCATCCAGGGCTTTGAGAAGCCGGGCTTCAGCAGCTTCCTGGCAGACACAGGGCTCTCAGGCCAGGGTCCAGCCCTGGCGCCCTGGTGCCCTGACTCCAGCCCCCGTGGTCCCCCGCCAGGTGGCAAGAAAAGCAACACAGACAGTCCAGCATGGAGGGGCTCCGGGGGATGGCAGGAATATGTGTCTCACCCTCAGGCCAGCCAGGCCCCCTCCAGAAAAACATTATAGGGAACTCAAAGGGGCGAGGGAGGCTGGTGCCGCCATCAGAACCACCCTGAATGGAAGTGTCGCCTGCGTCCCCACCCACCACGGCTCGGCCCGCGCCCCCACACACCGGAGCATGTCCCCTGCCTTGGTAGATTGGTAGATGTCGCACTGATGCAGGGGGCCCTGGTGATCTGCTTCCTTGCACAGGGCTTGATGGAACTGGAACTGCAGGACGAAGCTCACAAAGTACCTGCAGTGCAGACCAGGCATTAGCGGGCCTTGCCCAGGGCCTGCCGGCCAGCCACTCCCCACTCAGGGACGGCCTCTGGCGAAGGGAGCCCAAGCCTGGTGCCCAGAGGGGCCTGCGGGAATGGGACGTGGCCTGGGACGGGGAGGGAGGGAGCCCAGCACCTGATGTACGGCGTGACATTGGGCACGTGGAACTTCGCTCCAGCATCAAAGTGGCTCTCGTTTCGGGCAATTGGAGGACAGATCCCTTGATACTTGGTTCTGGAAGAGGAGGTGCAATGGCTTCAGGGCCTACGTGTGGCTGGAACACAGACTGATGTGGCTTTTGCAGAAAAAGGCTGCTGAGTCAGCAACACCCCCCCATCTCATCTCCAACCCAGAGAATGTGGGGAGTACTCCCTGGAGGAGCACGTAGGGGCAGGAAAGACTGGTAGTAGGGAAAAGGACTGAGACCGAGAGAGGCTCCGGGGTGGCTGGGAAGCTGCAGGCAGGGATGCGGTGGGAGGGGGACACCCTTCCTGATTTTATCATTTGGTGGGGTTTGGGCCACTCTTGGTGATGCTGGCGAGTTACTCCTAGATCTGTGCTCAGGAGTCTTTCCTGATAGTGCTTGAGGGACCCTAAGGGTGTCAGGGATCAAACTGGGCTTAGCTGCATGCTAGGCAAGCACCTCCTCTCCCGCCCCACACACTTCCCCCTGCCCCATCCGTTACTCTCTCTCTAACCCCTTCCGAGCCCTCTCTACTCACCGCAGATACCACCAGTCGAAGTTGTAACGAGATGGCGGGGTACGCCCACTAAAGACCCCCCAACGCCACTGGTCCACCAAGTAGCCAAAGGGCAGGAAGGCAATTTTTTCCAGGGCCATCTTCAACAGGAAATTGATGTCGCTTTCTGTTGGGAGAGCAGAAGGAGGAGAGGATGAAGGGAAAGTGAGTCAGATAGAGCCCAGGCAGGGGGAGGTGGGAGGCACTGGGGGGAGGCTGTACCATGAGATACAGAGACCTACCGTGCACACCCACGTACCGTTGTCATTAGTGACCTGGTCCAGCAGGCCAATTTTGTGCAGATGGCTAGGTGTCGAGACGGACAGTGCCAGCACGTCCCCAATGGCCTCATGGAAGCCAGGGTTGGCGCCTTGGCGCAGGGGTACGGGCTGGTCCTTGTACTGCAGGTAATACTGTATGTGGCCCATCTCGTGGTGCACTGTGGACAGCTGGTCCATGGTGACCCGCGTGCACTGCTTGATCCTGGACAGAGGCCAGAGCACGGGGGAGGGGCCTGAGGCAAAGGAGCAAGGACTGGCCGGCAGGGTGGATGGACACATCCAAACGCTGCTTCTCGCCAGCCCAGGCTGCAGCACTCTGGCCCTTCATCTATTCTGGGATGCAGAGCCGAACCCCCCTTCTCCCCCGCTCCCCATCACCGTTCCCAGCAGCACTGCCAGACCCCGCCTGGAGCATGCGCAGACAGACCTGAAGTCCTTCTTGTTGTAGAAATCCCAGGCAGACGCATGGCACACCACCTCCCGACCGTCGCTGGGTTTCTCTAGCATCGACTTTGCCCAGAACTCAGGAGGCATGGGCAATAGCCCCAGGGAGGTGAAGAACCTCTCAGACTCCCGGAACATGTGCGTGGCGTTCCAGCCCTGGGGTGGGGGTGGGGCCACAGGTCAGGACCCCCGTGCGCGTGCGTGTGTCCCGTCTGCGCTCCTGCCCAGGCGGAGACCCCGCCCTGCCGTCTCCCGTCCCAGATTCAGGGCCCCCCACCCCAGCATGCATCTGCACCCAAGTGGGCACTGCTCACAGCCCGCTGGTGCATGTGCGTGAAGGGCGGGATGTCCAAGTGAGCTCAGTGAGTGCTCAAGGCGGGACGAGGCTGAGCCACTTTCCACACATGCCCCCTTCCAAGGGCCCCCTGCCAGCGCCCCACTCCGGATGGACCCCACACTGACCTTCTCCACCATGGTGTCCGTGACATCGAGGTTGGGCTTGTTGGGGAAAGGCACCACCATGTCATAGATGGTCTCCCAGCTCTGCGCCCACATGTTCCCTAGACAGAGGAGGGGGACCAGAAGGCTGGGCTCCTGGCTCAGTCAGTCACCCAGTCCCAGGCCTCCCTCATGCTTCCGGGTGCTGACCCGGCATAGACCTAGGAGATGCTGCTGGGACCCTTCCCAATAGGACCCTGGGCCTCATGATGGCTGGTCCCCCATCTCTGAGCTGGGCATTTAGCCACTGTGTGCCCCTAGCTCCCCGCCCTCTGCCAGGTGACTGCGGCTCAGTCTCAGGCGCTCATGGGGTGGAGAGGGCGGGGCAGAGAGCAAGAACCAAGGTGCACAGAGCTGTCGCCTCTGTGCAGGGGTCCATGGGTGTCATACTGGGACGCAGGCAGTGAGGCCTCACCCAGCAGGTGGGCCGGAATGGGCCCCCGGAGGTTGATGTATCTGGACCCGAAGCGGCGGTAGAGTGCGCGGCGGACGTAGGCATGGAGGTTCAGGTAGAGTGGCTCCAGCTGTTGGTAGAGCTTCTCCAGGTCCTCCTCAAAGCTGGGGGACTCGTACCAGGAGCGCCAGTAGGCCCCCGTGTCCGCGAAGCCTAGCAGAGGGTGGGGTTGCAGTGGGGCTTGGGTTGGAGGCTACCCAGGCACTCTCCGTGCTGTGGGTCTGTCTGCCGGCCGGCCAGAAAGGATGGCTGAGGTGGGGGTGCTGTGGTGACTTTTCTTCTCCTCCCACCAGCGTTCAGGGATCACACGTACCAGGTTTGGGAGCTCGTGCTCCCGCATGCAAGAGCTGTGCTCAGTCCTCTGAGCTGTCCAGCTGGGGCTGGTCCCACTTGGGGCCAGGTGTGAGGGAGGAAGGAGGGGGCGGGGACAGACAGCAGGGGGGAAGGGGGGGAGTGGGAAATCAGCCCCAGAGTGGCTCCGAGGCCCCGCTCACCATCCTGCTGGTACGCCTTGTTGCTGAGGGCAGTGAAGTTCTGGTACAGAGGCTTCAGTGGGATGCCCGAGGCATCATGCCAGCCCTCCCAGGCAAAGAGCAGCTGTGTGTAACTCCGAGAGGTGGCCAGGATGGTGGTGAGTTCTGGGACAGGCCAGCAGGGCTGGTCAGGAGACTCCGCATCTCTCAGATAACTTCCTCCACACCCCACTCCCCCAAGACAGGAACAATTGCAGGCTGGCTGGGCTGGGAGCCCCCGCAGAGAAAGCCCCAGGGGGCAGGGAGGATCAAGGTGGCACAGAGATGACAGGGGTAGGGGGGCACCCAGGTAACTCTCAACACACTTTGGATGGAGCGGCTGGAATCAGGGAACCAGGTCAATGGGGGCGGGAGGCTGGGGAGAGGATTCTGAAGCCTGGGAGGACTTCAGGGGACAGGGAGAGAATCCGGGAAGGGGAGGAGCCACTGGAAGGAAGGCAATGCAACTGGCCAAAGGGTATGTGTGTGGGGGGGAGGGACGGGGCTCCTGGATGGGTTATTGCCAGGAGAAGGGGTGTGGGGCACCCACCCCGTTCCAGCAATGTCTTTGGGTTTTCTGCTCCCTTTAATCACAGGGAGGAAGGGAGAGCAAAGCAGGGGTGGGGCAGGGGTAGGAAGTCCCAGTAGCGGCAGGGTGGGGTACCTGGGTCCAGGGACCAGCAGGGGGCAGTCTTGTTGGGGAAGCAGACCTTGGCGGTGGAGTAGATTTGGGCCATTTTGTTTAGCAGAGAGTTATACTGGGGAGGGAGAGAGGAGCAACTGAGTGGCCACAGCTCCCAATGAGAACCTGGCCAGCCCCTCCCTGCTCTGCCTGGGGCTCAGCTCTGCTCAGGCAGCTGCTGACCAGGGTCACTGTCCAGGGGAAATAAGGGTCCAGGACCCTTGCCACTGTGCGGAGAGGGCAAGTGTCTCTCCTTCGAGGCCTTGATGTGCCCAGTGCTTCTTGATCTTTCTAAGGAAGTCCATAAATCAAACCTGCCACCCAAGGCCCCTGGATTTCCACCTGTCTTGCTTTTATGCAGAGGGGCTTCTCGTCCATCTCCAGCGTACCAGGTGGCGTTGGAAGCCACTGTCTGCCCTCCCTTCAGCCAGTACAGACGCAGGGCACCTCCCTGGAGGCGCTCTCAGCCCCCTCCCCAGCACCCCTGTGAGGCTGCACCTCCTGCCGCTCTGGCAGCTCCAGGTTGGCTGGCCCCAGGATGCGCACGTTCTCGATGATCCTTCGCGTGATGTTGTTGAAGTTTTGCAAGTGCGGGTCATAGAGCTCCTTGGCCTTCTTGCCCCAGGCCTCAGAGAACTCCTGGGTGAGCAGGGCTGCTTCCTCCTGCAGGCGGGAGAAGGGGGCGCGGCGATCTGCCGGGGATGCCAGGGGAGCAGGGAGCCTCTCGCTCTTCGAGGCCGCGCCTGCCAGGCCGGATCTAGGGGGTCGGCCCTCGGTGGCGACACAAAGTGGGGCCGAACTCACCGGGAGCAGAGGCGAGCCCTGAAAGCCCGGGCAGGCTGCGGCCTGAGAGCCCAGAGAAGAGTGGGTGCCCGGGCCGGCCGAGACCAAGCCGCGCCACGCCGACACCCTGCGCTCCCGTCCCCCCTCTGGCGTCCCCCGGCCCCCGGTTCTCCTGACCCCGACCCCCGGGTCCTCCTGGCTCCAGTCCCCCGGCAACACCCCTGGTCCTCCTGGTCCCAGGCCGCCGCGGTGCCACCTGCCTGTCCCCTTCCCCCGGCGCCGGCCTGTGATTGGCCGCCCGGGCCCCGCCCCGCGCCGCGCCGCCCGCGCGCCCACCTGGCGCTGCGCGTTCTCGGTGGTGATGTTGGTGTCGTGCTCCCAGCTGGCGGTCGTGCTGTTGAACAGCACCTGCTCGGCTCTCTCGTCGTAGCTGAGCGTGAAGTTGTGCGCGCCTGCCTCGTCGGCGGGAAAGTCCCCGGGCAGCAGCCCGGGCTCCAGAGCGGCGGGGAGCGGCGGCGGCAGCAGCAGCAGCAGCAGCAGCTGCAGCGACAGCGGCAGCGGCGCGGCCCCCATGGCGCGGTGCTGGTTGCGCGGGGCCCGGTCTCCCGTGCCGCGCCCGCGCTGCGGATTATAAGACCCGGGGCCGCCGCCTTCCGACACACCCCCGCCACCCGCCCCGCGCTTCCTCCGCTCCAAAGTGGCGGGCCGCGCGGGCCTCGCCGAGCGGGCGGGGACCAGGCTTCCTGGCCCGCCCCGGCCCGGCCCCGCCAGCCGCTCGGAGAGATGCCTCCCGGGGGTGACCGAGGGCCGCCGAGGAACGGGGACCTCCCCCCAGACACACAAACGCACGCGCGCGCGCGCACACACACTCACTGTCCCCTAAATCTGCAGGACCCGGCGGGGCTGGGAAGCCCGCGCCCAACCTCCGGAGCTGTCACCCCGCGGCCCGGCGGCCCCCGGGGCTCCATCCTCCGGCCTGACTCCCGGGGGCTCCGCAGCCAGGAGGTGCGGGAGTGTCGCCAGTGCGGCAGGAGCGGGTTCGGGATGTGTCGTTCGCACCAGCTCCCGCGTAGGGCCCGGGGTCAGGGGGTGTGGCCTGCGCGGGGTCCCCAGCGCACCCCTGGGGGGGGAGGCGCTTGGGGAGGGGCCGCTGCAGAGGTTCCAGGGTGGAGAGGGGGGCGCCAGCACCGGATCTCGGCAGCAGCACCCTTTGTTTCACGGATGAAGAAATCAAGGCTCAGACGTTCCGGGTGACTGTCCCCGACTGGCACAACCCCTCCGCCAACGTGTCCGTCCAAGTGACAAGCACGGGGGCTGCTTCTTCTGGCGGGCGGTTTGCGGAGGCCTCAGGCGTGCAGACACCCAACGAGGGTGTGGAAGGGGCGTCCAGATGCTGCGGCGACCCTCTGATCCGCGGGGCCCTCCCTGCGGTTCATCTGGTCTCCTGGCTAGATTTGGGCCAAGAGGGTAACTCACAAGCAGAGTTCAGGGGACTCTGGGGCCACTCCTGGTGATAACTGGCCTATAGGGTGCAGAGACACGGTACTTCTTGGGACCTGCTTTGCTGGGGGTCACCAGGACTACCTACGCTGGTGGGGCACCCAGGTACCAAACTCCAATGCTGAGTCATCTGCTTGTGCCTCAGCCCTCTTACCAGCTCCCTGGCCTGGGTGGAATGTTGGGGTGGGGTGGCATCTGGGGCTTCCCATGCCCTGTTGACTGGATCCCTGTTGCCAGGGAGGGGGGTGGACAGGCAAGGGGACAGGTGGGGATGAAGGAAGCAGCCCTGGCATATGGAGGAGTGAAGAGGGCCATGGCAGTCCCTGATGCTGAGGACAGTTGACACGGGTTCGCGGTATCGAACCGCTCAGGGAGCATGGGTGTCTGGGCCTGGCTCTGCAGCTGACTCAGGGCAGTGCTCCAGGCTTCCATAGCCCTGCCAGAGCCTGGAGGGGAGCACGGGAGGAGCGAGCCCTCTCCAGCGAGCAGCCGGCAGGAGGCGGGACACAGAGTTCTCTGGGACACGGACAGGGCCCCCGCCCACTGGCCCTGCTCAGCACTAACCCTGCCACGTCTCGGGAACAACCTACACCTCCTTGAAAAGCCCCAAGTGCGGAAGCTCAATGGGGGTTGGAAGATTATCTAATCTCCCTGTTTACAAAGAGCAAAGGAACAGATATCAGGGCTAAACTCCAGAAGGGCCAGACCCTATCATCCTCCTCTCCCTGCACCCCAGTTTAGCTCAGGTCCACCCAGGGAGGACCTTGTTCCAGAGAGGGGAATGATGGAGGGAAGAAGAGGGCAGGGCTGGGACGTGCCCCCCCCCCCCCCGCTGCCCCCAGGGCAGGCACCAGCCTCAGGCAGGGACATCTGAAGTGGCCCCACTCACTAATGTGGAGCTTGCAGGAATACTGTAACCTTGGTTCTGATGAGCAGAAGTTGAAAATAAGCCCTCTTCTCTATTTTTAGAGTCTTACTCATGGGGGAGGGGGAGGAATGCACCTGACATTTGGATAACACTTTGAACTTTTCTAGAGTCTGGGGTGTAAATGATCAAACTTGATTTTTTATAAGACCCTGGGTAGGGGAGAGAAAGAATGTCCATGGCCAAGTTCACTCTCTCTGGCTCCATCAACACAGTGGGGCGGGATCCAGATCCTGCAGGAGGGTGTAATCCTGAGAGCCTCTGAGTAGCTGGAGCAGCCTGACCCCACTCCAGTCCCAGGGGGAGCATTCTTCTGGAGAATTCTCTACTTCGTTCCAGAAAGCACAGTGTCCAGTGACCGCAGGTCAAGATAAACACCACTTAGCATATAGAACCATGGATGGAATAGAATTTAAAATCCGGGGGCTAGAGCAATAGTACAGTGGGGAGGGCATTTGCCTTGAGTGTGGTCAACCCAGGTTTGATCTCTGGCATCCCGTATAGTTCCCTGAGCACTGCCAGGAGTGATCCCTGAGTGCAGAACCAGGAGTTAGTCCTGAGCATTGCTGGGTATAGCCCCCCAAAATAAAATAAAATTAAGAATTTAAAGTCCAGAAATAAACCCTTCAATTTATGTTCAACAGATTTGGGGGTGGGGGGACGGGCACACCTGCGGTGCCCAGGGTTACTTTTGGCTTTGTGCTTTTTCCTTCTGAGTGGTAAGGTAGTGGGGGATGGGGGTGGTGTTTAACCTCTTGTGTGCAAAGCATACACTCCAACCTTCCAGTTGATCTTTGGCAAGGGTGCCTGTATAATGAAATAGGACTGGAGCAAGGGAGAGAAAGTCTATTTAGCAAATGGTGTAAGGACAATCAGATTTCCACATGTGAAGGACATGCACAGAATGACTTGGACTGCTGCCTCATACCAGATAAAAATTGACCCAAAGTAGAAGGCAGACCAAGAACAAAAATCATAAAATTCTTAGTAGACATTCAGGTATCAAAATTTATAACCTGGGATAAGATGATAATGATGATGTTTTAGATAAGACATTAAAGACTCGTATTACAAAAGAAAAAATAAGTACTGGAGAGATAGTGCAGAGGGTAAGGTACTTGCAGTGGTTGACCTTGGTTCAACCCCCCCGCCCTACCATATATTCCCTGCAAGCACTGCCAGCAGTAATTCCTGAGCACAGAGAGAGCTGGGAGCATGGGTCAGTAATATGCACACCTTGCATGCAGAAGGCTTCAGTTCAATCTCAGTACCCGCCACCTCCACGCACAAAATGGGCAGACGATTTGATGAGACATTCTCCAAAAAAAGACAGACCTGTGACCCATAAGCACATGAAGACATGCTCAGCCTCGTGAGTCATTGGAGAAATGCAGATCAAACCACATGGGTTACCACGTCACACCCACAAAGATGCTAAAATTAAAAAAAGACTATGATGGGTTGATGGAGAAATCAGAATCTTCTACAGGGCTTAGAGGGACTAATAATTGGAACCATATCTTTGGAAAACAGAGAGTTCCTCAAAACACCTTTGTTCTACTCCTGGATATATTCAACTTCAAGAGAATTAAAAACATGTCCATATAAAATCTTGTGCATGAAGACCCAGAGAGATAAGACAGTTGATACGTGCTTGCCTTGCACATTGTCAACCCGGGTTTGATCCCCAGCACCATATATGGTCCCCTGAGCTCTGTCATGAGCGAATAACTCATAATGATGAGGCCACAACTCTGTGAACAGACTGAAAAGCTGAACCGTTCACTTTATTATTATTATTATTTTATTTATTTTTTTGCTTTTTGGGTCACACCCAGTGATGCTCAGGGGTTACTCCTGGCTCTGAATTCAGGAATTACTACTAGCAGTGCTTGGAGGACTATATGGGATGCTGGGGATCAAGCCTGGGTCGGCTGCGTGCAAGGCAAATGCCCTATCCACTGTACTATCACTCCAGCCCCATGAAGCATTAACTTTAATGGAGGGGAGGAGTCTGTGGTATATGATACATTTCAATAAATCCCTGAAAGCATGCTCAGATGTTTACTTTTATCATTCTCCATTCATGGAGATACCACCTGACTCGATTCATTTCCAGAGGCTCCATCCAACCCCTCAGTGCCACCCCCCTCCTCTCTGCCGAGCCCGCAGCAGTACTGGAACAGAGCCCAGCAAGCCTGGGCCTGACCCTCACCTCTTCTCTGAGCCCCATTTCCTCCTGTGCAAAATAGCTGTCCACATCTCTACCCACCTCAGAAGCGTGGAAGATGACATCACCCCAAACAACTTATCATTACTGTCAAACTCATTGGCTAACATTTCTTATAGGCCAGGTGCTAAACTGATAAACACACAATTATCGACTTGTTTTTGCTTTTTGAGCCATACCTGGCAGCGCTCTGAGGCTACCCTAGGCTTGAGGTTACTCCCAGCAGTGGCCAGAGGACCATGATCAAACCAGGCATCTCTCGTACAAAGCTTGTGCGTTATAGCACTCGGAGCCAACTCCCCAACCTCAGATTATTGCCTTTAATGTAAAACTTGGTTGAGTGACAAGCAACTCTCCAACGCTTAAGTGCTTTAGGTTGGGCTCAGCAGCAGGTGAGAACAGCGAATTGGATGGAGGAAGCTGGAGGCTAACGTGAGTGATTGTTCCAGCCTCCAGACCAGCAATGTCTGAGGGAACTTTCTCGAGTGGATGGAAACAGAGATGAATGAAAACCACGTATGGAATTTTATATTTCTAGTGGCTGCATTGAAGATAGAGAAAGAAACAGGTAAGTTTAATTTTATTTCTTTATTTTTCTTTGTAGCACCTGGCACTCGTGAGTCCCTTTACTTCTCTGGCCCGGGGATGTTCTCGGGCCGAGGGTTCTGCCTGCCGTAGTGTGCTGTCTGTTGGAAACCCCTTCTCGAGAGTGTTGCAGTTGGCAGCTTCCGGGAGGAGCCCTTTCTCCACGGCTCTGGAGGGAGGCGCTGCCTTTCTCATTTGGCAGAAAAATGGGACCCTTCTCTTAGGCGTTAAGCATGGTCTTACATTGCTTTTTTTTTTTTTCCTCGTCATTTTAGTCCCAGTGTAGTTCTGTGTTTTTCTTCCGAGAGGATGAGCCGCGCCCGAGAGGGCAGCCTTGTCAGCAAGCTCTTTTTCAGTTCCAGCCTGTTTCAGAAATGCACTATTGGTTTCCTTTCTCTGCCGGGCTTTGCCCAGAACTTTGCACTTTGCAGACGGCGGAACCCACCTCTGTTTGCTGTTTAATTCCAAAAGTCCCTGTTGACGCTTCCTTGAGGCCGGGTCATGCCAAGGAGTGCTGGGCCCCTGCCCCATGCCAGCGGGAATCTGCTTCCTGGAAGGCTCTCTGTCGGGTGTGTGC